TACACAAAGGGCGGGTATGTCACTCTCATCATGTTATCTCGTTAAATGATGTGCTCTTGACTGACCATCGTTTCCAGAGACATTCTATGGCGAAAAGCGCCCGGAAGAAAGATCATGAAGCAACCCATCGAAACTGTTTGGATTTGATGGACCAGATTCAAAAAGAGTTTGAATTAGCTCTTGGTGCGATAGACGAAGAGAGAGCCCATGATTCTCAGTCGATGCAGCGTTTGCATGCTGAAAAGGCCCAGGAGGCTTCGAAACTACAGCAGGTTATCACGGCAAAAGACAAGGCCTTGGTTGAGAACGAGAGGCTTGTGAAAGAGCTCTGCCAGATACAGCAGCAGCAAGAATCGGCAAATGCCGCCATGGAGGATCAGGTCTCATGGCACGATATTCAGCCGGTATTACATCAAGCGCATGGCGAGCTGGTATCAGCGACCACTCGGTTCTGGAACACGATCGACGCCCTCCGGAACCATACATTGGCATCCTATTTTCCTAGCTCCGGAGTGATCCACGGAATTTGGCCCGAGCAGGACGGCCCGCTTGGAACTCTGGGTCACAATGCCCTACCCGGGTTTTCCTCTTCGAGTGATTATCCGGTTCTTACTCAGGAGGCTCCAGCTCCAAGCAACCATGAATCACTTGTGTGAAGCATTACACATTTAGGGTCTGGGAACGTGCTGGCTTTACTGTGGAGGAACGGCCTAGTCGATTTTATATAACCACCACGCAGACAGATAGCTCATGGAATAATCTCCGGCAACACCACCGCCATCTTACGACAACAGTAAAAATAGAAAGAAAAGTTAGCGTCCATCGCTGTTCCGCTGTGGAAGAATATTGACGTAAATCTTTTGATGATTAGACTTTCGCTCCGCCAAGCGCAGCTTGGGAGGCAGAGAGAATGTTCCATGGCCGCTGAATGTGGTTAGCGGCAGGGCCCACATCTCGGGGAGATAATGCGCTGATCCGGAAGCAACCGAATCTAATTGATCATGACCGTGGTCTCCACCCATCATTTAATAGGCAATGGACCTGAACGCTACCAAGGTCTTTGACTACGCGAGAATTCATGAAGAGATTTACAGTTTTCTTGGCGCTTCGTTCGTCCATGAATTTTCTTGCCACTTGGCGGATAATGGAATCCCAAACGCCAGACTAGGATGCTAGCATGAACTATGGTATTTTTCTGGTCCACCTACAGATCGAAACTCAATTGAGCGGGCTATCCGCGGGTCATAAGATTTGGAATACTCTGCCAAGAGTACGACGGCCAATCTATGCATCTCAAATTGATCCACCACTGGGACGTGAGGATCCAGTGTGGCAGGGAGAGGGTAGTCGCTAAAATGATCGCCAAGCGCTTAAACTCCCGAAAACCTTAATGGCATGTCTTATCGTATCAATTTGCGACTATCAGCGGCGAGGCCAGGGAATTCATCTCGTTACAAAGAATTTATAGTGACTTTTTTTCTACTATTCCGCAGCCTTGCGGTTATATACAGCTTCAAGTCAGAGTCTGCTCCGGTGAGATATGATTAGTCGAAAATCACAATAACATGATGGTACCTCAGCCGTCAAGGGCTGACACCAGGCTCTGGAATATAAACTTCCACCTCATCAAATCTTGATCCAGATCACCGCTGTGACCGAAGTGTTCGCCTAGTTGCATTACCATCTGTAGTATCGTTCTCCCCCTGTTTGGCCACCATCTCCATAGCTGTCTCCACAACCGCCAAACGACTGCGGATGTCATCCAGATCACTGCGAATAGTTGCAATCCAGCTGTTCCGGTTATCCAGTGACTTTTGCATGGACCTGGAAAAAGTCAGCCTCTGTTCTTTCCCGGTGAGTCGCACGACTAACTTCGTTCGGATATCTAGACTTAATGTTGTAAGCAAACGGACCACAAAACATTGTTTCAGGAGAATTGTGGCACTCACTCTGCGACACATTGGAAGGCGATCATACTGCAGTCTCCAGTAAGATCATCTTGTCGGGGTAGTTCCAGTTCGTTCTCGGGTCTCGGGCTCATACTCCTGTTTTGGGAAGGATATTCCTGGCCATCATCCGCCAAGCTACCACTGCGGTCGTTGCCAAAGGGGTCATTTTCCTGAAAAGAGGCCTCGTCCTCTGTGGTATCACCCGCCGCAGACCTTGACGGACTCCGGATATCCTCAGACTCGGAGGATGACAGGGATAGTGCACGTTGCAATCGGCTCCGAAAGCTTTGTCGTTGATTATTGTACGGAAGTTTTCGAATTCCACCCATAATTGCGGACGACGCTGGGATACTGAGCGTCCCCAACTGTGGTTGAATGTTAAAGGAGAAGTCGCACGGTTTTTATAGAGAGCTGGTTCGCCAAACCGGTGCTTGCGATCGGGATTTGCGAGGTTTATTATCTTCCATCCATGCTTTCCGTACTTGTCGCTTAATTTGGAATATACTTTGACCAATCAGTCACGAAAGACATTCAACTCTGGGGTAAGGACCTCTGCCGGAAGACAAAATATTCGCCACCCAAGCCTGTTTGATGTTACATTATTCAATAGCCGGTGGGACTCGGCCTGAAAACTCATTTCTGTTTTCTTTCAACGTACAGTAGTAACATTCTAGAACACTTTTTTGAAATTACGAAATTTACGGTTGCTCTTTCTTAAAACTAGGGATGTACTCGAACGGTGGGATTCTGAGGGATGCTGAACTACGGAGTCGATATTTCTCAACTCAGACTCGCCAAACCGACTGACCAGAACGGTCCATGGGTCATTCTGATAAACCAACGGTACTATCTTAGCTCTTGCATGGGACCACAGAAAGGGGGGGGGTCCTTGAGGCCCACCTTGCCCATCGATGCGGGATTCAAATTGTGCCATTGTCTTAAAGTTCTCTTCTTGCTACTGCTACTTCATGCAAGCGCCATGTCCCCACGGAGCGAAATAGTTTGGTCAGAATGGGAGGAGAAGAACCTTCTCTCCTGGCTCGGTGCACATCGGGAGCTGCCGTGGAAAGCCCGCTCCGACGCATATTATGAACAATATCGGGTAGTGCGAAGCGTTGACTCTCTCCGAGGGAAGATGTACCATATTCTGCGGAAGCAACGTCGCACTCGTGCCAAAGTGCCTAAGCATCCAGGGAATCGAAACCAAGCAGGAGCCGCACGTCGCTCGGTGGGCGGAAGAGCTTCATTGGAAACTCTTCCAAAGCAAAGGCCTGCCCAAAGTAACATTGCAGAATGGTTTCAACCAATCCTAACTGCCGAGCCTAGTCATACCGACAGCATTGAGTCAACCAAGGCGAAGGGCTCGAGACTAGGTATGAATTGATCTTCATTCACTGTTAGTTACAAGCTGATCATTCATATCAGGCCGCGCGACGCCACTACTCAGCCATTCGCGGCGTGAAGAAATACGATCGTCATCTTGGATTTGGGACTACGTACATCGTGTCTGTGCAGCCAGGAAGCTGAGATACCGGCGAACAGCACGTCTATACTAACAGCATTTCATCGGCTCGAGCGCTACATTGCGTATGTTGAAGCAACAGTGGCCAATTATCTCGATTGATTAGTATTGCTGTATGTCGATATACTGAAGACCGTGGCAGCTGAGCAATGAAGCTGAAGCATGATGATATCGGAGTGGTTGTATGTATCACTTCACGTATTTCAAGAAATGTGCCGATCCCCTTTCCTTGGAATCACAACAACATCGGAAGAATCCTAATGTCAAAGGTTGTGAGATGAACTGTTGCGGGTGCTCTCGGAACTGGCCCACGTGCAGATTCTTCGTTGATGTCTCCTAATCCAGGAGCATTTTATCGGGGTCGCATTCGGCCTGCGACATACTACGTACGAACTATATATAAAGACCCACGGAACCGAGATGAGTGTCCGCGTCTGACATTGACTTGAGCTTGACCGATGACAGAGTACTCACAGCGCTATGGTGGCGCCAAGCATGCGGGGCATTTCATAATTGCTGATATGCTGCGCAAGCAAATTCCATGCAAGAGGCACAAGCGTTTTTTGGAAGGCGGCTTGTTCAACAGAGGTACCGCACTGACATTTTAGTCTCGAGTGAGCGCTATATGATCTGTAGCTATACAATCACTGCTATCCTCCCTATGCATTTAGCTTCTAGCAATCTGTACTCTGTGCCTGATTTATGGACAGGTCGGACGTTAAAGTCGCTTTGGTTTTACTTTACTCTCTTATTGACTGCGCTCCAAGATCAATACCCTTGTGGTCACTGCGTTGGTGATATAGCCCAAAAGCACTTCTGATTGGCTTTTCTATTACCTTGAAGTACAGTATATGATCACCGCACAGTCGGCGTATTCTTTCACTCTTACTTTTCTTTGACTACTGTTGTCAAAACTCCCCTCTGCCAACCGCCAATCTGCCTTTGGCCCTTATGGCGCTATCTGGCATTCGCAATCAAGATCTCCTTGATATGAGAGCAATGGAGCGAAATGGTCCACTAATCAAATTCATTATTGTATAGTGGAGGCCATTATCACTTAAAATACCTTGCAGCTGTTTGTCCTAGGTCTCATTCCCCTTTACAGTATAGCCAGGTGCCTCGCAAATCTACAACCTTGAAAGAGTCAATCCATCATGCCGATTTATCAGAGCCGGGAAAGGAAGATTTCGTAGACTGGGATTTTTGGCTTGTTCCCGAAGCACCTAGCACTGAAAGCTTACAGTCTTGTCGAACGGTACAGTACGGGAAGCGCTCGGACTGAGGACTCCAACAGCCGCAAAGAATTTGATCTTTAACAAAACATCACTCCAAATCCACATTCTGGTGTCACCCAAGTTGCACGTGTACTGTGCCTCGTGGTCGTTCAAAATCAAACAACATCACCAATCAATTCGATCATCAATCTCAACTCAATCAGCTCTCCCACAATTCACATCTTTTTTTCCAAGTTACGCTTGCCTCCAATAATTTTATAGACCTAGGCTGCGAGTCCTTTGACGGTGGTTCCCTCACAGCCACCATCTTCCAGCGTTTTTGCGGACACCTTCCCAACCAGTCACGGCGGGAACAGAGCCTCCATTCGGACCAATAGGTTTGAGCTCGTATTTATCGGCCTCTGGAGTGATGAATATCAGCTGCCAGGGACCGATGCTGGTCTTGAACGTTAAGCCGCAAATTGGACTCAAGTCAGCTGGCGTGGACAGTCTCTTGCCGAGGAGTCCGCAGACATCTGAAATGTTGATGGCCTGCACCTTCTTTAGCGAAGATGTGCTATATTGGGTTCGTATGAGCTTCTTGTCGAAAAGTCGTTTAAGCTCTTTTCTAGGAAGCTTGATCGTTTCCGCCGAGTCAAGGCTTTCGATGTACAGAGTAATTCCTGGAACAGACAAACACTCGCCACCGGGGGATGTTTTCAGAGTTGTCTGAGGAAAGATCACCTTTTGTTCTTTCTGACGATACCGGTAGTCGGTTCTGAGTGAATTGAAAAAAGTCTCCCGGTGATAGCGTAGGTCACCTGTCCAATCGTTGGGCGCTAAGAGAATTTGATGATGTTTCTGGTTATTGTGATTTGGATTGCCGATGCTTGATAGATCTTTGCCAATAAGAATCGGGCCTGGGGCCTTTACATATGGTGATTCTTTCAAGAGTTTTTCAGCTAGATTGATCCATTCGTCTGAGGCGAAAATAGTCCTCCATAGTATGTTGTCGGCACATTCGTGCTTCGAGCTTGCATTCGCAATTTGCTTGGTGACATTCGGAGGAGTCTCATTTGCGATAGCGTCAAACAGTTCTTGGGGCAATCGGCGGAATTGATTTTCTCTGCGTTCCGTTTGTGGGTGTGACATATTGATAGCGTCCGCAACGTTATCCTCTCAACAGGGACCAGCTACACACTAAAGACCTTGCTCTTCTTTTGCAAGGCGGCGGTGAGTAAATATTAGCCTGGTTCTTTGAAGAGATCGAACTCACTCAAATGCATCGGACGAGTGGCCCAAAAACTTACCAGAGTTGGAATTTAGAAAGGGATGAATAGTAGTTCTCCAGCAACACAATATTCATGTGAGAAGAATGCAGGAAACGATGCGAGAGTAAAGCTGCAACAGGGGTGGACTACGCGGCATTTATACCCTGTCTGACCTAAATCTGCGCGCAGAACTCGGTGCATTGAACAGGCGCTGCTCTTGGGGAAGATGATGGCTAAAGTCTGTTGAAACACCGGCCAAGATCGTAGGAAGGCAAATAATATACCCCATGTGAAATTGAGGTGTTGATTCAACAGAGCAGAAACTTGGTGGTCGTTGGGGGGCAGCAACAGTCTTTTCAAACAGTCTTTTCAACGTCTCAACTAGGCGCACAGTCGGAGAGTGAGGGTTGCGGGCTACTTTAAGGCTATCTATAATGAGACTGTCTGTGATGAGCGGCTCATGGTCACTGCGAAAGAAGGCAGTCTATCATTCATGATCACACATCTTCCTATCTCATGATCGAGCTCTCATAACTACGATACCACTTCAATGTTTTCCCCAATGTCCCCTCCAAGTTTTAAACATCGATCCGAACGGGATACGAGCTATTTTCTTCTGGAGGATTTCTCGAATGATCATGTACATACTAAACCTCCAAAAGTTTTTTTAATTTCAAGTTATCTTCATCATTTACGAGTAAGCATATTTTGTTTGGTTCACGAACCAGATCGACTGCGATTTAACCCAGTATGAGAATTTAAGATCCCATCGGAACTCGATGCCGAATCTTGAATCTGAACGATTTCAACCGGCAATGCAGCGTGCTTTGGGATATGCACTATTCCATGCTTTGAAGAGCTAAAAGTCAACGAGAAGTTTCAGTTTTCAATGAAACTTGAAGACCTCATCGTCTCGATTGACTTGTATTCTTTAAAATGGAAAGTCATTGCGGTCATACACTATTACTCATGGGTCGAGACCAAGTTTCTTGCGTACACGATCAACTGCATGGATATCCATGTTTGAGTCAAACCACACTGCACCGAGAATCGCCTCCAGCGCCGATGCACGCGTGTATTGGGTGATTACTCCTCTTTGAGCAGGAGGCTTCTGAAGGTATCGATCAAGATTGCAGTGCTTCCCTTTAGTACTTAGATTTGAGTTGCAGGCGTACTTTTGTAAGCTCTCATCTCTTTAACCTATGAAGTAGCTCAATAGAAGTTCAAGTGATTGTATTTTTTTCAGCAATAGACGTACTGATAGTTTCATTGTGCTGATAAGACTTATCGAGGATCGAGAGCACCAATGCAGAATCACCAACAAGTGCTAGACGCTTGTTACCTTGCAATGGCGCAGTACCTGCTGGTTGCAAGGCCTCGCGTAAGATTTCAGGGGACTGAAAATGATAGCCAATCTTATCTTGTAGTTCTTCTTCCATTTCGGGTGTATCATGTACCTGCGCGCAGATTATTGCAAGACTTCGAGGCGTGTTAGCTAGCAGCTCGTATATCTTGCGCGGCAAAAGTCTATGATGTATGTGACCCCCGATTTGGGACCCCAGAGAAAAGTACAAGAAACAGTGATGTGATAGCTAAATGTCCCATAATTGGAATGAATCCGTATGAGAGCCCAACACACACATCGAAATTTTCATAAACAACCCGCAACCTTGCCGACTATGCTACCCACAGCAGCAGCCGGTCATTCCACTGATGTATATTCGTCGCAATAGAGCAGCAGTAATCTGGAATGAGGCATGCCGCAGTACGTGGTCGTTTCATATTTGCAAGTGCTAGATGTCCAATTCACCTAGATATGCTATTCGCAGTTTGTTTCGTGTTTTAGCTCGTGTATGTATTTATCAACAAACATTGTTGATTTGGCTCTAGGGATCAATAAAACAATCCTAGAAGCGTCAAAAGCAATTCTAGGAGCTGGCTAATCCCTGGGAACTTCTCTTTAGCTCCTGAGACCAGTTACTGTTCCTAGGAGACTGATTTCTACCCCTGGGATCTTCAGTCTACGATCCTGACTGGTTACGAACTTCCTCTGGGAATAAAATGCCTAGATCTGGGAGTTTTTGCGCTCCTGGGACCCTATTTCTGGATCCTAGAGTCATTGTTCTGCCTTCTGGGGTGGCGGAAAGCCCTCACAAGACACCTTCACCAGACCTACGCACAAATCTGTGTCATTCAACGACTCCTGGAAAGGCCAGCTATAGCCCCAGGAACCACACCTGAGGTTCCAGGAGTTGATAAGACTGTCAACAGGAACATGACTTTGGTTCCCCGAGGTGGAGGTACAAGACCCCAGAAGCTACATCGGGTTTCCTGGGGGCTACGTGGCTCCTAGAAGCTGCTTCTTTGCTCCCAGAAACCGCACTAAAGTCTCCGGGAGCAAGATAGCTTCCAGGACTGATAAGCCCATCTCTAGGAACGAAACCAGTTTCATGAAAGTGATTATGGAATGTTCAGACGAGCGTCTTGTTACACTGAGGGTCTAAAAGCCTCATAGTAGCTATGTGCGGCTGGTCTAGATACCCTCGCTTAGCTATCAATTTTTTGGTTCTGAGAAGCTTGTTGGTGGGTTCAGCGGCTACTGTAGCAGCTCAGGTACAGCTGTAAGGACAATTTCAAAGCAAGTTTGTGCTACGCCGCTAGCTTCAACAATGCTAGAGTTCACCCCCTCATAACACCATTTGCCACTATACGCCCTTCGAAGTGAAAGTCGAGAGGCCAAAAGATAAAAATGGATCAGAGCAGATTGCGCTGTGATGGTTGTGACAGCAAGAAGTTGATGAGATAACTCAACGCCTCACAATTCCGTGAACGTTGAACATCGGCTAAGTTCGACCCTGCACGGTCATCAGATAGAAGCCACATACCGACAGGCTCATCTTGATAGCGCTCATTGATAATGGGATTCAACGCGTCCACTCAGCCCCCAGAACAGCCATTACTAACTCTCAGGGAGATTTCACCGAAAATGGGGAGCACATTGCTCATTACATATATAACCCTCACACTTTCCATTCTTCAATTTCATAGTATCAAAAGCTCTCAACCTTTCTCACGTCTTCGGAGGCACTGATTGAAGCCAGAAATATGACCTCAGGAAGTTTGGGAGAGTCGGAACACGGGGCAAGACACGGTATGCATTCCCCAGAAGGTATAATATTCCATCCTGGCCTGACATTGAGAAGATTGGAGAAGCGCAGAATTGCTTTGGGATCTCAAGGATTCCTGGTCTTTCTTTGCCCATTTGAGAGGCGCGTATCGATTAATCAAATTGACACGCAAATCCTTGCTGTCAACTCCGGCAATTTCCCAGCGTCCAAACCATATCGATGGGGTTAAAGCTGCGGTGAAAAAATTCCGTCTTGATTCCAAAAATGGAAAATTAAGCAGTGAAGAGCACAGCACAAGACGCAAGATTGTATACGGTCGCTACGCCGAGGTAATGAATTACGTTGAGCGTTGGTCAGGTGAGGGATCTAAGATAGTCTTGGATGAAAACATCCAAGTTGCTGACTTTGTGAAGATTATCGATTTCCTGTCACGACCCCAGCAAGAGAAACCAGTCGTGCAGATGGAAAACCGGAAGAGGAAGGAAGCTCTCTGCTCTTGATCGAATGATAGATTGGGCGTGGTGCAGTTGTCTCGCCGTTTCCGAGAATGCACTCAGGAAGCTATTCATTCTTTCGCCACTGGTGGGATCTTTCAACGGTGGTAAGAGGGTTGATCTTAGGCCGTGTTCTGGTCAAAATTGGATGAGGAGGAATACTATTGCACGAGGCCGTGAACTCTGAATAGCAGATAGTAGCATGTCGAATCTTCTCGGTCCCGATATTCCAGAGAGTGGAAGCAGAAAATAAAGTGGTGAATAACTCCGGACACAGTCGATTTATACTTTACCGTATGTGCAGTGTGCTCTATGTACACGAAGCTTGCCTGTTCAATGGAAGCCATAGCCGAACCTGAGCTGCGCCAAACGCTCTTTGCATTGCCCGCTGCCTAGGTGGCAATCTGCTTAAATTCCTCGGCGATATACGTTCTTCAACTTAATTCCTACACCTTCTTGCTCGGCAGCTTTGCAGAAGCGCAGAAGGTCTCCGGCATCTTGAGTAAAAAGTAGCTCCTGGGATCACCCGTGACTTCTACCAGGGTTATACACGAAGCATACAGTATAAATGGAGGTATGATCTGCGTGACCAACCTAGTTGATCTGGTTTCCCCTGGACGCGAGGAAGACTCTTTTTCTTGCATCCTCGCGCTACGTCCTGTATCTAGACTCAACTATAGTTGTTCTTAATATTGATTGTTCATCTTGAAACACTATTCACCTCTACGTATACGTGAGACTCTCACACTCCTAGAAGCAGCTTCTTTGCTCCCAGAAACGATTCAGTCGCCTCCGGGAGTAAGAAATCTCCTAGGATCAAGAGATGAGTTCCTAGCACTTATTGAACCGTCAATAGGAGCGTGAATAGTTTCTTGTTAGTAACAGTGTATTCTCTTACAAGCCACGAACTAAACCCGCGTAGTTGGTTCTAGGTTCACACTATGGCCTACAGTTTTTGACTTTTAGGCACCGATGGCTTGAAATAGTGTTGACTTCGAATATTCGACGTTGAGTATCAGCTATGCAACACAAATCCATCGCCGGGGGGATATCACTGACTCATGGGGTATTCATCCCACTGGTTCTCATCAGTAAAATCATGTACCTAGTAACAAATGTGGGCCTCACCGTTGCACACTCTATCTCTTGTGGAAAAACTTCATTCCTCATTTTAAAAAGTTGAGGGTCGGGAATGGACCGATCAAGAGCATGTCTACGTTTATCAACGTTCCACCTTGAGTATATATACTGAATTCAACCCCAACGGAAAAGCAAACAACCACATTCAAATTAACTGCAATCACATCATTAATAGCAATGCATTGCAAAGATCCCTTACTCGGGGCTAGATATGGTTTGTATGTCCCTTATGGTTCAATATGTCTTGCTAACAGCAATCAGACTGGAAACGTGCGGAGCACTACCAATTGGCCTTTGAATCACAATCTTTTATTAAAAGGTGGAGAGAGGATTATCGTATGACGAAAGCGATGATGAAGTCCCGTGTTCACATGTCGTCTCACGCTTTTGATCTCAAGATCGCACATTACAAAGAGATTTCCTGCCAGGTCAAAGCCTTCCGAAACCAGGTCAAGAACGGACTTTTAACGACTCAAGAGGTGGAAGAGAAAAGGCAAATTGTCTTCAGTCTCTATGCTGATGGTATGAATGATCTCGAATGCTGGACCGGTAAGGCTTCTAGGTTATTACCAGGGAAATATTGGGAAACTAATTGATTTTAGAGTACCGATTTCCATTATTTCGGACATGAGCATGGATTACGGTCAAAAGACCAGGCGAGTTACCCCGCTATCAAGGAGTTTACCGCCTGCTATACCGATCTATCAATTACCTATCGCCGGGCGTGCTACCAATAGTACAAAGCAAGCAGAAGATTTTGAACCAAACTTGCTCATTTGGGGGAGGGGCCGGGTATAGATACAAGTGATGGTTTATGAGAAGTAACAGAGAAATGATATGGAAGTTCCACCGAGCGCGTTAGTCACTATATCCAAGAGAGATATGCGTTGATTGTATAATCTTCTGGTACAGCAGAATTCGAAAACAGTGTCCCCTGGGGAAATGACGCTTTGGTCCTCGGGCCTTGATAAAAACGGGGCTTAGCCTAATTTGGCAATCTTGTAAAATGATATTGTCTGTGAGTGGTGATTATTATACTGCTTATCTGAATAATGGTTAAACTTGTACGAGCCGAGAAACAAAGTGTGTCTGCCTGAGGGGTAGACTGTTTTGAATTCTACTGTAGCCCCCGACTTGTCCACCGTCGAAGATATGAAATATGTGGTGTGCTGTGGCCTGAAGTATGCCATAATACTGTTCGTCGCATAGTAACCCTGAAAAGAACGTGGTGCAAGAAGAGCCAATCTAGGAGGAGTTGTATTGTGCCGGACGACGAAAACAATCACCTAACAAAGCAATGACGGCCTATCTGCAGTTCAAGGCCCAGTGCAAAAGTTGCCTTGCTCATTCAAGCGACCTTCAAGGTAAAGCACAATTCTACGGTTGGAAGCTGCTTCAATCGCCCTTTTCACATCACTAGCACATTTTGCCCGAGTGTCCCTGTACAGACGCTTGACGACGTGTTCGTGTCCGAACCGAGCTGCTTTGCATAACGCTGTGTCCCCGAATTTATTAGTAGCGGTAACATCCAGTTCATCCACTTCCAGCAAAAGATTTATGATAGCCAAATGGCCACGGCAAGCGGCCAAGGAAAGTGCAGTGTCTCCCATGTGATTTTTGAGATTGATATCAGGTGGTGTTGTGTGCTCAAGTAGTAGCCTTGTAACTTCCAGGTGGCCCATCTTGGAGGCAACACACAGAGGCGAGGTGTTCCATGATTGCTGGTTGATGTCGATGGTATCAAAGCAAAGTAATCGGCGTACAACTTCCACATGGCCCTCGCTGGCAGCATAGAACAGTGGAGGGGCTTCTTGCACGTTCACTTGTATATCTTCCCTTGCAAGGAAGAGTTCCACCATGCGTAAGTCCCCTTTCAAAGCAGCGTAGGTGAGGGGGGGTATCCGTAGTCATCGCAAACGTTGGGATCTAGGTCCTCATTGGCGAGAAGGACACATGCGATCTGTATGTTTCTCGTTCTCGCCGCATGATGGAGAGCTGTCCTGCCAGTTTGACCGGCCACGTTGACATCTACATGATCTTGTGCGAGGATCTGTAGGGCTACAGCCGTGCGTTTGAAATCTGCAGCTGAACAGAGTGCCGTTGCTCCTTGAGCATCTGGGGCATTGATATCCACAGCACTATAGGCTAAGAGAAGCCCTGTGATCGACGTATTTCCATATTCTGCTGCGATTTGGAAGGCGGTGCGACCGTAAATGTCTCTTGCTCTGAAATCTATGCCGCGTTTGGCCAGCAGGCACTTGGCTACCGACGTGCATCCATACTCTGCTGCGACGTGGAGAGCAGTGCAGGAGTGTCTGTCCGTTGCATTGATGGAGATCTCTTCATAGGCGAGCAATTGTTGGACTATCCCGCTGTCGCCGTTTTGTGTAGCTTGATGCAACAGGGTCCGGCCATGCCAGTTTCTTGTATTGGGATCTGCGCCATGGGAAACCAGCAGCGCGACGAAATCTTGAAGGCTTGCCTGTACAGCCTGACAGAGCAGACTGTTTCTGATAGTGACATTCTCCAGTAGAGTCATTCTTAAATTGGGATCTAAATGGAGGAGTAACAGCCGGGTAATTTTGGGGGTTTCCTTGGCAATAGCAAGGCTGAATGGTGAAAAGTGTTTGTAATCTGGCGTTCGTAGATCGCTGCCCCTTTCCAGAAGGGCTTGCACCAGGTTCTCATCGCAGAGAGCGATGGCATACCAGATAGCAGACCGGTGCTTGACATCAATTGTATTCAGACATGGATTAAAATCGAGTAAAAGTGTTGCAGTAGACAGCTTTTTGCTTGCAATGGCATATACCAGTGGAGTCTGCCTGTGGTGGTCTTGCCAATTGATATCCGCCCTCTTATCAAAAAGAAGCGTACGAATCATTGTCTCGTTCTCAGAGCGAATTGCATAAAATATTGGTGTGCGAGATTTATCGTCTGTGGTATTGGCGTCCGCTTGATAGCTGCGCAACATCATTTCCACAAATTCCGAGTCGCCTCGAAGAACCCCCCAAAACAAGGCAGAGCTGCGTTGGTTTCGGACGTTGAACTTGTACAAATATTCGAGCAAAAGAGCATTCGTTGCTCGATTGAGGCAAGCCAGCTTAAGCAAATCTCTCGCTTGATCTAGCTTGTCTGCTATGCAAAGAATAATTTCAGGAGGAAAGTCGAGGAAAGACATCTATCAGTTACGTTAGTATCAACTCATGTACCAAGGCGTGCAGTATCGGGAGCCGGGTATATTCACATTGGAGTATTGGGTTGAAGAGGAGCGGGAGTACAATTTGTTGCGTGTGGAGTTGGTTTGGTGGGTGACTTGAATGAGAAGCTGAGAGATGAAACATAATTCTTACTATCTTATATATATTCGAACCCCGGACGCAGGATGACGTTAGTTCCCTCGTGGTATGAAGTATCGGCAAAATCCAGGACCGGTTGAGGTTCCTGGGAAGCAGGAGTTGTTTATCCGGACCCCTACTATGTGAGTAATTCTCCTTACGGATCAAGCTAGTTGGTGATTGGGTTGAAAAACAAATGGCCCCTAGTCGCCGATAGATGATAAAGGCGTAGACTTCCCGGCATGGAAGTCTGGTTCCTAGGCTCAGGCAAGAGCTCCTAGAGGTTGCTTCTTTGCGGTTAGACTTTCACAGGCTTCCGTGAGCAAGAGAACTCCCAGGGTCAAGACGTGTGCTCCCAGCACTGATAGAGCCGTCAACAGGAATGTGACCGGCTTCTTGATAGTGATGGTGAAAAGAAAATCACATGTCCCGGACCTATGCTATGTCGGGGGTCACTGTTTTGAATTCCTTGAAAACACCAATTTTGAGGGATGTTTACACCGCACATCATTGGTCCCCGGCCCCGGAAAATGAGTCCGGTCTCTTGGGAGTGATTAAGTAGACCAGTTTCTGGAATCTCCCTGAACTCCTAGGGTCTGCTGCCTTTCTATGAACTTGCATCAGATATTCTGGGATCGGATTGGTTGCTACCTATACCATATTAGTGCATCTTATGGAAGCACATTGGACCTGCAGAGATCAATCAAAGTCTCCCATAGTGGCGTGATAGATGAGAGACCCTCGAAAGGACACCTTGGGCTGCATATTCATGAAATGGGCCGACTAGTGAGTTGCTTCGAGAAAATCATAACACTCTTGTCCAGCGCCTTCCTCTGGATAGTTTATAGGCGCTTGAAGTCTCCTTTTATGATGGTAGTGATTTGAGGGAACATAGCCTGCCGAGGTTCTGAAAGAGCCAAGGTTCAAGGCTGCAAAAAACCAGCGTTTTCAGCCTATCATCAAACTGAGGCTCATAGATTAGATAGTACTGATGGAGCAGGGTAATAAATATGACTACACTTCTAGCCATCGATATGCTTCCTGGTGGGGTTTACAGGCATCCTACACCCCAACACTCTGCCATGTATACCCAACCCCACTTTTTAAATCAAGATGACATGGAATAAGACTAGGATAGCTCATGGGGCTTCGGCAGGGTGGTGAGGTGCGAGCTGGTGAGATGTTGAAAGGAAGTACCTCACAATTCGGGAGCTTATCATTTCGGAATTGATTGCCCACATATTCTGAGCCCAGATACGGCAAGACATATTTGTCAGATACCATGTTTAAGTTGGTGTCAATTGGGTTGGTGCATTTTGGGCTGCGTTTTCGGCCTCAATAAACGACCATGCTTGCAAATTAATGGTCTCATCGGCGATGCACCTCAACTTTGATCAGACGACTGACACTTTTACTTCGACATTTGCCTCCCCCACGAGCAATCCGAAGTCTCCAGGAGATCTCAATAGAACTCTATAAAAGCCACTGCTTCCGCCATCTTTTTGCTTGACTTCACGCAAGCGAGATACCGCCAGATACGTGAACCAAGAGCAAAAAGAGCATACGACGGAGCAAAATTTATCTTCAAACTTCCCAAGTTCGCCGGACGATAAAGAAAATGCGTTTCTCTCTCATTGTGATGCTCGCGAGTGCGTATGCACGGGCATCCCTCGGTGGCACTCTTGAGATCATTGATATTGATAATCAATGCGCGATATGGTCCTATGATAATCATGGCTGCACAGGATCATCAGGATTCTTCAGCCGACTTGATGGAGATGACTGTTCAAGTAAGTAAATGCCTGGCATGCAAATCAAGAAAAATATACTAATGAATTTGCAGGGTTGGACAAGGTCGCCAACAGCACTCATTCAGGTTACCCTTTGCGTGGCGCGGAGGCTTGCGGCACGGAAAACAATTCGGCAGCTGCATGGGTTAAGGTCGAAAAAAACGGGGTGATCACCTTCTACAATTTTCAGGGAGACAAGTCGGCATGTAAATTGGACAAGGGGCTCAAGCATGGCAGCCGGTGCACTGCCTCAGACCTGAAATCCTCCACCGAGCCATCCTCCACCAAGTCGTCCTCCACCAAGTCGTCCTCCACCAAGTCGTCTTCCACTAAGTCTTCCTCCGCTTTGACGACGCCGAACTCTTCGTCATCGGTTTCGAAGTCATCCTCGACTACCTTCCAGACCGCATCTACTTCCGATTGTTCTGCAGCCTGATAAAGTCTGTAAACAGTTAAAAAAGTAGCATCGCTCTTGGGATGTACAGACCATGCCCTTCACTGCATTGCAGGCTCACAATGTCTGACTATTTCATTTTTGAATTTTCTGTGTATTGAGTGCAAACTAGAGTGGGGGGTTGCAGCAACGTCAAGAAGGAAACTTATCAACGTTGTAGTAGACTGATGCTGGTTCATATTTTAGAAATCAATTCGATAATACGTTATATTGTTTCACTTGGGAGTTGTCATGGTCTATATAATAGCTAAGCTTTCCCTATATATTTGCGCTTTTTTGAAAGCTTCTATCGAAAGGATCGTATTCGAGACCCTGTCTATAGGCATTTTCTCACTAAACATGTTCCAATTAGAAGGACTATTCTTGTCCTTGAAATCGACGGCCACGGAAACCATTCCCGATAGTTTGGTAGTAAAACAGCTCCTGGAGCCAACCTGAGCTCCCAGGGTCTACTGCCTTTAAAGCCTGCGTCAGGTATTCACAGATTGGATTGGTCACTGCACATAATCATATCAGTGCACCGTATTGAATCATATTTGGCCCAAACGCGAGGTCGTGGGTGTAGAAAAACATAAATACATGCGCCCCGTTCTGCCCTTTGCATATCTTCTATCCGTGATTTCAACCAACTCATCTCTCCCACTGAGTGGTCTACCATTCCTCAACGCCAGTATTCAGGTGCCTGCGCCCTCATTTGACCATTTCGATCGGCTTTACATCAATCAACAGTTACGTCCAGGTGGGAGTCAACAATCGTAATATTTATATATGTACAGAACCGAGACCAGTCAGTCATTCCCAAGACATGCTGATATCCAATCTGGGGGTAACATCGGTGCTGCCACTACACTAGCTCTGGACCAGGCTCTGATCAAAGCTCAAAGATGTGTAGACATGGTTCAGCACGCTGTTTCTCAGCATACGCTAATAGTTGGAGTTGCCGAACGCCTCGGCAACCTTCTTCTAGACCCGAAAGACGTCAACCCTGAGCAATGGATTTCTCTAGACAGTGGGGTAATAGCGACTATCTTTTCCCTCTTATATTGCTGCACCATGGAGTGCTACGAGCTCAAACCTACTGTGCTAGCTATCCCGTCGCTATGCGAAGGTCTCGACGCCTGCAAATTAACCCTTCAAAGTGTGCATGGCGCAGCTCTGATGTCCGTTTCGGAGCATCCATGTGGTCTTTACAGTCTGAAGATTCTAATCACGCTAATGTTCTAGGAACTCGGACGACAAGACATCGGTCTCTTCACGGCATCGTAAAGTCACGGAGACGATCGAGCAAGAAACAAGCCGTGAGTGTTCTGACGGGAAGCCGTTTTCAAAATCTACTGTAATGCAACGCATTGTACCAGAGATATGGCATGGGACCCTAATCACAGCAGAAGACAGAGCTTCGTTACACATTCGATTTTTTTAAACCTAACGATCTAACAAAACAGCCTCAGATGTTATTTTCAAAATCGTATACCAGTCACTTGATGGTGCGGGGAAACATCCACCCGGGGGTCCGGGAATCAACAGCAAGAAATCGCACCCACCAGTGCCGACGGTTGTCATGGTGGTTCCATTTCCGGGCAAGGAAGCGGATGGAGTGATGATAGCATTGGCAGGCTGCGTAGTCACAAGTCAGCAAGTGGTAGATCAACTTGTTTCACAGGATGCCGTTTCATACCAGTCAAGCACATAGTCAACCGTGAGTATCAGCTGGTAGATATGCGCCTAATCGGTGGCAACGATGCTAATCTGATACTCTCCATCCTACAGGGCAAGGAGATGGTCCACTAAACTTGCAGTCGAGTACGGGAGCGCTCTGCTGGAGGTTCTGCCGCACAACCTAAAGTAAGTCTGACGCTAGGCAATACTTTCTAGAAGCCTTTTCCATTCTTGCTCGGGGTGTGTCATCTCAAATAAATGACGTTAAAAGCGATAGTCCATTGTCTGGCTCCAATCGCCCTTTGTATATGAAGGTAGTCGATGGAAAAAGCGAATATGGTTATGTAAAAGTCAACTTTGGCTTAAAAGTATGATCTATTTCTCTCTGAATCTCCTGAAATGATATATTGAAAGTAACGCAGCATAATTCGCATTCCATTGGCTCGTATAAAGTAGATTAGCTCAGACACGTCCTTCAATAGCCATATCTCTCCACGAAACTATGTGCTAATTCGAACCTCTTCGTTCTCGTTGGATTGTAAGTTATCCAGCAACCAAACTGTATGACAAGTCAGTACCTCTGCCTTCTCCCTCAAATAAATCACGTCCCAAGTAATGCCAACTGACCTTTGCTATTTGCACACCTAGCCAGAGGCACCTGTGTCTTCTCACTACTTCCTCAGAATCCATTTCATCGATTGAAACGCCGTACCCTGATATATCTTTGAAGAAGTTGTCTGGATAATAGAATTGACTCCACACTTGGCCGCGTATCAAAAAGTCTTCTGGTAGCTGTGGAGCTGTTTCATATTCGCCAATTGGGAACTTCTCGTCTTGAATCCTCGAGAAAGCAGTATTGTGCGAAAACAGACTATTGAGGAATCCAGTGACTGCTTGCCAGGGAACCGTGGCCTCCAAGCTTTCCATGACGGAGCGATGAAAAGAGACGCGCCAGAGAAATGCCAGAGAGATATGGATCCCTGGGATTGCATTGGGGAAGTTACTGTATCGAAGAAGAATCGAAAGAGTTTGAAAAGTGAGGCGGATTGCCTGGAATGCTTGATTTAGTTTGAGCTGCGAATGCAATCCGGTAGGGCTATTGCTTACATCTTCTTTTTCCATTGCCGATGTCGACTCATTCGCAGTACCACTACTCTGCTTCTTGGAAAACAGATCGGCCAGGTGTGGGTATACAGGTGTACCGTAACCAAGTACAGAGGCGATGTTGCAGGACATGATGTACACCTCGTGTTGATTTCGGCTACTAGGGCGTTGAATGTACATCGGTAAGAGCGACATGAAGTCATTTATCAATGTCTCAAGCTGCTCTCCCGAGCCATCCGTAAGTAGGACACTATGTGCAACCACAAAGTGACTGGCCATGCTATCACGTTGAAGGGCCAAACCCTTCCAGTGATTGAAGAAAATGTCAATGGTCGCCCGGCTGCCGTCAAGTGGCTGCACACAGACGAATGCTTTGGTAAGATAAAAGAGTTTTTGAAGAGCATCAGAGTGCGACAAAACTGCAAGAGAATGTTGGATTCTACCGATATTGGGATTTCGGTCCGCAGCCTTTCGGTACCAATACCGCGATATGCCTGCCCAATGTTTCCGATCCTGTCTTTCCACAGCCATACGATATCGTGTCACATCACCCAATTGTTCATACAATATCACCTCAAGAGCTGGATCAAACACTAAGATTCGGTTCAGCGTTGATGAGACGTGATCAATGAAATGGAGCATGTGGACCAAAGATCCTGGAAGGCTTTGGCGTAGAATCTCCAAAGGTGAATAGATTCCATAACGCCACATTCGATCAAGCATTTCGTAGTTGCGAAGAAAATCTCTGATAGCAGCGCTAGCCGATGGCACTCGAGACATGTAGACGAACTGTTCATGCTCGTAAAGCAAATGCTTATATATGGTGAGAAGGGCTTGCCATCGGTGGCAAGGTAAGTGAATTGTGGATTGCGGCCGTTCCTTGTCAAACCCAATACACTTATTTTCCCACACTATAACCTTTTTGTATTGTTGTATGAGAGTAGCTATATCGGCCTTTGTTTGATCGATAGTCCCAGTAGCCGCCTCATTTCGAAATCTCGATGGTAGCAGGCGTGAAGTCATTTGGCAGAGATGTCGGGTTTTCGTTAAGCTGTCTGGGAATCACACCCGCGATGACCCTAGCCGTTTGAGGTTTGGGGAAAGATTGGAAGTGAGTCTTCGTTCTGAAAGCATGTTAGCTGGTGCTTGCTACCGCAGTTCTTTAGTAAAACGAGAAGTCGTACCAAGAGACTAAACACTACCCTATAACAGTGGATATTTATATTGAGATAAAATGTGGATGTAAATGCGATTGACAGAATGGAAAAAGGAAGAGGTAAGGTCTCGATTAAATAGACGAAGAAAAGGAAAGTCGGTTCAATCAAACACCCGGTGAAGCCCGGGCTATACCACAGTCTGCTGTGCCAAGATTCTCGATCCTTCCAGGGGTAGTGCTTTGCTGAGGCTCTAGGTCCCAGGAGCTTGAATACAGGCTATTCCAAGTGATACACAGCGCCAGACCCTTAGTGGACATTTGGTAGAACGGTAATTTACCGTAGCCTAGGGGGCAGGCCTAAAAACATAGCCCCGATTGAATACAGCAGAAAGGCCTGGATCTGTGTGGATATAGGCACCGCTCTTCCGCACCCTTAGTCGTGGCGTTCTGCGTTAGTGTCACACGGATGTGATCCGATTTGCTCCATTAGACATGCTTGATACAAGGCCATGTCTCACGGAGGAAGGTGTGATACAATGAGCAACCTGATGATTGGTGACATTTTTCTCGAGCTGAATACCGAAGGTTTGCACCACATGGCACCGAAATCAAGATCAACAAAATGATTTCCTAGGTGTAGGGCTTTGATCTACACCGATGTGGTTGTTCCAACTAATCTCAAGTTCCTAGTCTAAGCCTTCGCATTGTCTGCATCTTTAGCGCACAGAAAGCGTGCCATTTTGGTGGAACAACAATGTACAACGTGCCCAAACAGTAGGTTTACAACCTTTATAGTCGGAGTCCTGGATACGCAAGGAACACTAGACATAGGAGCGCGCTTTCTTTTACCTTCCAGACTCTGCCTCGCGTCTTCGTTGGTACTGAGGCTATGAGCAGAGTCTGGCAAATTAGACTGGACATTCACCTGGGACGGGTGGAGCACGGCTTGGCCATTATTGGCCACTGGCCCTCGATACTCAAGAGGCCGGTGGATTCTAGCTAGAATCCCTACGCTATCAACCAGTGGCTAGCACTTTCCCCTGCAGGCCGCACACATCGATCTTACGGAAAGTTCAATCACAGTGTCATTACGGCGTACCCGCGGGAGATCAGGGGGTACCGGTACCTGAGGAAGGGACGGCGCAGTTGCAGGCAGAAGCCCTCGCCCGTTGGGACATTCCCCATAGGGTATGGTTCAGATTTTATACCCCACAGTGCTAATAAAACCGGGTACAAGGTAAAATTTTCAAAATATCTGTTCCATACGGCGATCTGGCCAACTGCAAGCCGTCTTTCTCATAGGAGTACGGATATTCGAAGAGACCGATATCTTAATAATGGTCTCATTGTGAATATGACAAGTCGGGCCTACGGGCGACGAAGATGATTGGTCAAGAGGAGCTACTTCCCATATCCGGCATGGTCCAGATTGAACGGTGCTTTCCATTGAGTATCCAAATCGACTAAATATACTGAGATCCGTAAATTGTTTTGGCTTCAATCTCATACCAGGGGAGATAGGAGCTCAACCGTACAAAATCGGTGGCAATGTATGTACTCTATTTCTAGTTTGCGGGTGGCTCAGACGCGGAAATAAGCCCAAATTCTGCCACTGCATCCTTGCATCTTAATCACATCGGCATGCTCCATATTTTTCATCACAGTCTCCTTCAACCTATTAAATCTCACATCAACTTCCAAGGTATCAATAATTGGGGTCTTGATCCCCTTAGTGAAAGTGTAATTGATAGACGACACTTTGACCACTTGATGCTGGGTAACATCCCCCCTCCAGCCCCCAGAATATCCGTAATTTTTGCCAAACGCGGAGCTTCATTGACAGTGGTGCATTCACTGTTGAAGGCAGTTGTTCTTTATGCCGAATCTTAGCACGCGCCAGGTCAGAACGGAAGATCCAGCTTCCACGATTGTATCTTTTGTACTCAGGGGTTATGCACTAGTCAGATGTGCTGACATTGAAGTTCCACCCGAGCGCCTAGAGCTCAGGTGGAATTCCTGCCGCGCGGTCTTACCTATACTCTTTCTAGAGAGCTTCCCTCTCAGCCTACTGATTCCAGGCACGCGTCGTCGCTCATTCCCAGCAACCATCATGCCCCTAGCTCCTGCGGAAAGGCTGCTAACAGACTTGTCAACACAACTGGATATGTTCATTCGGTTTCTCAAGGTCGACTTAACCCCCATCATCTTAGAGGGTGACTTGGTACAAGGGGAAAGTCGGCGGGCCACCGAGCTCTTGGCCACGGGAATGAACACCCAGTGCTGGATACAGCGACTCCAAGAAATTCACCAATGGACCAACCTAGCTTTGCGGGAGCAAGACTGGCTACAGCGGACTGGACGCAATGAACCTACTCCATGCTCAGGGTCCCATCGCTTCGGAACCATGGCTGCGTTTATCCAAGAAGAGGGATTGTCTGACAATCACAACACCAAAAAAGCACTCCAACATGGACGCAGGGTGATGCGGTTTGAACGTGAATTTGGGCATGGAATTACGCTCCTTTGGTTACCCGTCCTTCCCGCCTTGCGTTGTCTATCCTTGGCCGAGGAAGCTCGAACAATAGAGATGCTGCGAAGCAGTGGCTTTGCATACATCGCTCATCGGGCGCAACTTCTAGCTCGCCTGAGGTTCAACTACCAATGCATCCATGGAATCTATCCCGGTAAGCTACACGGCCAATCTGCCTATATTCTTTAGCTGAATTCTTGCGAAATTTTTCTAGACAGAAATCCGCCATTCAACACATGCAGATCCAACAAGCAACTCGATAGCCCCCACTAGATTCTCATAAAGGCAAAAGCTTCAGGGGCTGACGGATCCATCCCCCACGGATCCTCGGAATATCCTTGCCACACAAGAAATGCCCCAGCAGGCAGCGAAATCTCCATCTTGACTCCACCTCGCACGAACAGTACCACGTCCGATCGCAAATCGAAAGATCTCGATGTTCCTCTTTCCTGTGCGAATTCGGCGCTAGACAAGTGGTGGGAGATCGGATAGAGCTTCAAGGTTGCCACTCTGTCCTCCAGGTTACCTGACAGGACTCGGAAGACTGAGACCCCATTTCGGACCGGGTGGGCGGCATTGATTCCCCAGTTGGTTGGAAGAATGGACGAGTGGACGATGACCGGGCCTTGGTGGAGAAGAAAAGCGGGCCTCCCGATCACTTCTTCAATCTTCCTGGTGAACTTCCATGGATATTAGCTCTGTATATCTGCGACGCGTTGATGGACACACATCACCATCCTGGATTCCGAATTTCAAATAGCTTTCGCATGCATCATGATCCCCTCTCCCATACGTAACGGGCCCTGACACTACGTTTGGTCCCGACCGGAGAGATCTTTCCACCTCTGTGACCAATTTCTGGGGAGGCGCGCCGGTCTGGATTTTTGCATATCCCAGAATCTCCATGGCGGAGTATTGCAAGTTGTCGTTGTACGACATGCCCTGGGTGGATGTCATATCTGCGGAGAATAGAGACTAACCAGATGAAGCCTAGTTCCAATTTGGCGCCCTTGTGCCCAATGTAAAAGGATGCTTTGTAGATTACCTATAGCAGTTGTCAATATGGGGGAAACGTGTCTCTTATAATCTCTCGAATGAGCAGCACGACTGATGTGGGCGCTGCAGAACGTCATCTAGAAGACGGTAATGTAACTACGTATGGGGAAACACGTCATTCCTCGAGCACATTATCAAACCATAAAATTTCTAGTAAACGATGCAGGTCCAGCACGCGACTTAGCTGAGGATTCTACATTGTGAACATTTTGCTATGCCCTTCGGGTGTTCATACATTGAACACGTTGCAAGGCTTGGGAGGCCTCCGACATAGCCATATATTAAGCTGGCGCGAAAGAAGAGGGAAGATTTAGTCGGCTACGATTTGAATGCACTTATCACACTGTAACAAAAAGCCGATTCTCATTCTACCAACAATGGAGGCACGCCGCCAGCTCCGCGAGACCTCCAAATCTGACTCCAGGAGCGGAGAAATCTTCATATGAAACCTGAATTGACCAGAAATCATCCACCTCCCTCAGATCCACTAGTGTTCCCGATTTTAGAGGCAGATCATATCTCCAGGGGCCTTCTATCAGCGCCCCATTGGTGCGAACAGATACCCTGCGCTGGAGCTTCTTGGCAATCTTTGCTGAGTTTATGATGGTGCTGTCCTTGGAATATTTCATATCCCAATCCAAATACTCTAAAATAGCTGTTCCGGCTGTCCCATTGAGTGTCGATTCACGAGATGTCTTCATCATCCCTGTGTAGATCTGTGGGATGGAAAACATAGGGCAACCACTAGGGAACAACTCCTGGCAGTTTTTTAGAAGCTCTCCAGTACATGGGCAAGCAAACTGTTGTTCATTCAATTTTGTAACGATCGCAATCATCACTACAGTCATTAGCTATAACCCTTTGCTATTTGATATTGCTAGACGAACCTTGATCGGTGCCATGGCAAATTGCCCACGCAGGATTAGCATTTGGAAATGACGGCGTAGAAATCATGGAATCAAAATCGAAAGGTGGCTCAATGTGTTCATCCTTCGTGAAAGCAGTATCAAGTTCAGGCATTGAAGACGTTTCGTAGATAGAGAACTCCATGAGGAACTGGATTTTCTGTCTGACGGGTACGAAAAGATTTATACTCATGTCCTGGAACAATGATCGTACATTGTTCCGCCTAAATGGGGCCGGGATGGAAAGGAGAAAATTCCCAAGCGCAGGAAGCTAGCTAACGGAACTGCAGGTCTGGAAACCTGAAACATCCATTACCTGTCAAGACTAATTCTGAACACCGATTGGATGCTGGGGCAGACCTCCGGGTTCAGGTAGCTACTTTGTGGAGTTTGCGGACACAACACGGAAAATCTACCAGGTCCAGACAAAGTAAACATTGACAGTTTGAGAGCTCTGTCTTGATCTTTTGGGTAGTAGTGAAGGCCTTAGCTGGTGGAGTGATTTGTCTGCTTGATTGCGCTAAAGAACAACCTTCCTCATTGAAGAGCAGTAATTGCAACGCTCTATCTCCAACACTGCAGGGGCAAACAATATTACCCAACCCCTCGGCGGGACCAGGAGCTTATATGTTCATCCTCTTTATAACTAGGCTCTCTTGAATAAATCTTATAGTACGTAAGACTCAGCTCTGTTGACCGCTTGATGTATTCTGTGCCCTTGGGCTCTAGTTCTGGTACAGATAGCACAGAAAGCAGGACAAGCTTGACGTCCCTGTTGTCGAGACATCATCCCTCTTGTTTGCTTTGCAAAGCACGCTAGAGTTTGACATCAATTAAATGGTACTACTCACAACCACAACACTTTTCGTCACCTGCACCTCTCCCCCAAACATTCGCACTTCCTCTGATATCTCCATTCCACTTAAAACAGTCCCATCGCGCGTAAGCCCCCATAGCTGTAATTTCTTGTTCATGATTTTATAAGCGAGATGAAATTTCCAATCTGCTCCCAGGTGTGCCTGAATCTGTCAGACATGAAGATAAAATCATCAAGGCTACATACCTGTTGATTCTGAAGCCACTCGAGTACACATTTGGCCATAATAAACGGAGCGCTTCGGTTCATGTTCGTCTCACGGCGATGCTGTGTGAACTAAGTCGAGGAGGCAGGATGTATGGATTGCCGAGTGACGAGACTGCAACTTATATAATACTCTTCACTAACAATTGTAAGCCTTGTAACCAAATGGCCGAGGCAAGCATACGTAGAACAGGGATTCTCGGATGTGGCGACAAGTTATTACGCAAAATAGAATAGTAACATAAAGGATTAAAGAATGCCATATGAAAGCGCCGAGAGAAATGGTTTCCAGCTCCTGGTCACGCACGGTCGTGGACATGCCAATGTGGTACATTTTGGTGTACTTATATTACTCGTGAGAGCAAAACCACAATGCATAGCTCTATATGTCCCTCTGGGAAGAATATTCCAGCTTGCTTCCCTTGTAATGTGCATTCTGAATTGCTCCTCATCAAAGCTCAAGAATTGCTAAATAAACTACCATCGCAAGTCGAGACCAATATCTTCTAGTTGAAGTACCAACTGCTAGGAGAGGTGGTTTTGTTCGATTCTAAATGTAATTCGTGATTATTGGCTGGAAGAAAGCCTAGGTCAGAAATTTATACAATCCTCAAAATAGATTATCCAGACTTTAATTTGATGCCCCCTATCCTGTTTTTAAAGTAGAACGGTGTTGATTCGCCTTAAGTGACTCTCCTCAGTTATGGTAATGATATGAAATTAGCGTAGATGACACTATTTTGATCTGTCAACATCCGGAGCATAACAGCTCTTGGTTGTTTTCTTGAGACGACCTCACGATAGTGAAGAGGAGAATACCTTAAAGTCCATGCCTAAATATTGTCTTAAACAGCACTCTCAGAGTTCGCCTTCTTGCTTCCCCAATTTGGACTATATCCCTTTTGATCAATAGTAACCGAGCTCTTTTAGGCGTCTGCCAATGTCTTGCAGTGTGTCCTCATACCAGATTTTCAAACTCACAGGCATCTCATATCCCAAAACTTCTGCGAGACTTTGCCTTCTTCCGTACTCGTACAGATATTTTGAATGTAGGCGCTGGTAAAAAAGACCCTTCTTCGACTCAAGGTCTGTTGTCGGTTGTTTCAAGATAACCGGATCATCGCTGCTCAAGGGGATAAATTTCGGAATGCCATATATCCCCCAAACTCGTGAGATCCCAGCCTCAAGAACCGCAAGATCGACTAAAAATGCATCCCTCGTGTTGCCATGGTCATCCTGGGCTCTATGCTTAGCGCCAAGCTCCTGAAGAACAATGGCATCAAGAACCACATCATCGAGGCCCTTGCTTTTGATATCTTCCATAATTGCAATTCCATTACGAGGAAACCATATGCGCACGGTCTGTTTGGTTAGAGGCTTGCGTAAACGTGGAAGAGAGGAACCCTTACCTTCAAGCGTTGTGTTACTGGACTTTTTGCAGGAACACCAGAACCTGAAGGTGCAGTCAAGATAGACTGTTCCTTCGACATCATAGAAATATCTGACTTTGTAGAGCCGAGCGTCGAGCTTCGTTTAGGATCTGGCCCTCCGAATAAAACAGTCTCACGCGGGTTGCCTGGGGAGAGGATGCGCGGTATGAAGGTTGAAAGCAGGCAGCGAACGCTTTCTATGCTCAAACAGGGCATAATCCCACATCTGATGAAATCTTGATGGAAAATACGAATGTTAAATTGAATCCGAGGGACAGTCTTTATAATAATCTATAGTACATCAGCAATGTAAGCTTGTCCTTATTTGGTGGAGGTTTGCATCGGAGTGACAAATCGGGTTGATCTGACACTGTGGTAGTACAAGATCTAGTAAACTTGGCTTATTTTCCGAATTGGCACCAGAAAAGTAGTTGAACGTCCATAAAATTAGCCATAACACCCCTTGGTCTGTAGCACGCAACACAGTTTATCAATGCGAAGATAATGAGTAGCTTTTAAGTATAGTGTAATACAAATTTTTTATTACCTAGAATGCCCTGGCACTACGCAAAGTCCTGAGGAACTTTCTCGGACCGTCAGTAGTCCGTGATTATGGTAACCAGTTGGAACCGACCTCAATATGCGGCTGTCTGTATTGCTGAAGTCACCCTCTACCAGGTAAATAGGGGGCCATCTACGATATATCGGAATAACCATTACCCCTTGGGCCCATTCTCCGACAGTTTCTCTAATCGCACGGATTGATTGATATGATTGGGTTATCTTCGTTTACTTTGCGTCTCAATCGTATCAGCTGTCAGATCACTGTTTGTCTTAGATTTGGCGATGTGCCCTACAGAGAAAATGTCGTAAGAGTTTCTTAGTCTCTGTATACCCTGACAATTGCTAACACAATGTGGCCTCAAGCAGTCCATCTCAGATGAGTCGCCCGGAGGTAATTTTGCGCTGTCAATCAATTGACAAAGCGTATTTCATATCGAGTTGAGAATTATTCAATCGCATAAAAGCGTCGAGGATCATATCCTTCCTGCTTTCAAGCATAACAAGCCCTCTTTGATGCTGAGGATTCCTTTCGTCGTAGGAAGGTGAATCACGAATTTGAGCTTCCGTAGCCCAACAGTAATCAAGATGTTCATCTTCCCTTAACCGTATGGGTCCTTCATTTGTACCGACGGGCTGCTGCTGTCTGTCGCACCATGTTCGATGGAGCTTGAATTGCTCACGAACTTCCAGGGGGAAAGTGTATCTGACCATCGGGACTCCCTTATGTACCCAGAAATCCCTGTAGACCTGACTAGCAACGCGCGAGCCGTGCAAGTTGACTTCTTCTTCCGTCTCACGTTGCGCGGTGCTCAGAATAGTTTTGTCGAATATCTCTTGAGATCCCCCAGGTGGCTCCCAGGAGAAGGCCCATGAGTTCTCCTTGTCCTTACCGTTCTCGTCTTTGCCGAGAAGAGCCCGTTGACAGAGAAGCACGTATGCGGTAAGCGGTTCATGGAGGTCAAAAAGGAAAATGAGAGTACTGGCGGAAAATCGCTCGATGTCAGGTTGTTTTGCTTGAAGATCGACAAACGGGATATCGATCTCTTCCACTGGAATGATGGAAAAGCCCATGATGTTGAGAAAGTGATAGAATAAACTTGGGGAGGGTTTGTTGCAGTATACTTGCCACAGGTTTCGGAGGAAATCTGATATTTAAGATTCTTAGTCTGACTGATTATCGCATCGAGTGATTCATCAGGGACAAAATGCAAGTGGCTTTCCTCGAAAAGTTTTTTTCCCCGTTTTTCTGCCGTTTTCGTCATTTTGCACATACGTAGCATGAATGAACCTACTACGCCTGGTACGGGATCTCCTGGTTTTGCGACAAGAATGGCGATCTGTATGACTGCGAGCTTGCATGGCGGACTGAAAGTTCTGATCTCTAAGCATTGATTTAATGGAAAAACAAATGTTTTCGAGATTTCGTAGCCTTTCTAAAACTTTAATAGATGGATCACGGACGAGGGGCGAAATTAGGCCAACGATGTCCCCGGCAAGCAGATGATCATAGGCAAGTCCAGAATATTCAATCTATTATTGAAAGCACTCAGCCGGGTGCTCCTGATCCGATAAAGTTGAAAAGCCGGTGGCACCCAGCTGAGTGCCGCTGATTCGGGTTATTGCTTGGTGGCTAGAGCTGCAATGGTAAGTGACGAAATAACAGAGGAGCTTTCATCAAAACAAGGCTCCCGAGGTAATTTTAGGTCGATTCCAGTGCATTTGAGATCTGAGTCATCCTAGGCTTGTCTTCGAGAGTTGATATTGTAAGCCATTTTTGAAAACCCATATGGTTTGTCTTCTATTTGAGGTTTGAAGGGATGCATAGATATTCGGTGCCTTGAGCAGTGTCTCAGGTACATTGGCGTCGTAGTAAAGGAGCAGCAAGGCTTTATATGTTGTGAGGATGTGATTCATTATCATCAAGTCCTGCAGCAAAACCGAGCAATGAGTGGCGTGATATAACTTGTAACTCACCTGATATATCTGCCATCTAGAGGTCATCATAGAAAAACAATATTGCAAAGCCCCTGAACCGTATTAAGTTTCGTGTAATACAAGCCATCTTGACCAGTCTCAGAAACGAAACGATTTTCAGCCGACGCGTAAAGTGGCTACCAGGATTCTTGGGTTGCCAGATCATTAGCTGGCCAGGTAATGTCGGATTCAAGACTGTAAATGGGACCCGCTCTGAGGCGTTGACTTCATAGCCCAGTTCAGTCAAGATAATAAATATTGTATTCCGAATTCTGTTGCGCTGAAGACAAACACTGTTGGGCGTATTTCCCAATTAAGCCCTTAACCCCACGAAGACCGACCAATAGCTAGCTCATCTCATAATATAAAAATCCAGACATTTATCGCAGCAAACAGTGATAGATTGTCGCAGCCGTCAAGGGACGGTAGACTCTTTAGGTACTGCGGACCCTGATGATGACGACTAACATTAACCAGATTAAGAGGACCCAACTACAGGTTCGGTTACTGCTGTTAGGCTTTGGTGACTAACCTGATTAGGGGCATTCAGCTGGTTGCCCTTAATTTGGTTAGTGCTGTTGGCACCTGTAAGATCGAAGATGAGATAAGCCATCCCACCAAAGAAGCAACCCGGTCCCTCGAGGTGATTGCACGCCGATTCCATCCATTTGGAAGTTGGGGGCCCCGCGATCTATCTTCGAAAGTCGAGGGTGTAAGCCATGATAATTCCAGAGCCAGATGAATTTTTTTGCGTGGTACCACCGGAACCCTCGTTACCTCAACAGGGGACGCATGACTTCGTAAGGCAAAAAAACAGGCAGAAATATTGTGCCTTTCCCAAGGGGTATGAGGAGTTATAAGGTATCCTTGCAAACGAATCGGACAGCGGTGTGATGGTTCTTACACCTCCTGTGATAGGACTTACAGAAGCGCCCAGCACGGACCCATGGTCTGGCCCAACCACTTGATTCACTTGACGCGCCCCCCCCCCCCCTGTAAGATCATCTTGGGGGAGGGGCCAGGACGACAACGTAGTCTCGCTTGCTCTGCGATTTTTTTTTTCTTCTGGTCCATTCACAGCAAACATGACACGCCAGATTCCATTTGAGGGTGACGACGCCGCTTATATTCTGTTTCTTGAAGCGCGAATTCTTCAGCTTGAAGACTATCTTCAACAACCACCTCAAAAATCTGCCTACATTGGAACGTCATCGAGCCCAGCGGACTTCAACGGAGTCCGTAATCAGGTCGAGGTCTGTGAAAAACCTCATCACCACAGACGTCAAATTCATATCGCACCGGAAACCCAAAGCCCCGACGGTGACACAGAACCCGCCCCGGAAGATTTCGATGAACAAGGACGTATACACAAAGATGGCGGTAATTCTTTTATCGAATACAATCCAAAAGTCCAACTTGATCCAAAGAGGACCGGTAAATGTGCACGTGGCCAGAGCAAAAAGCATCAACTCAAGACCCTATCAAGATTTATCAGCTTCATTGACAATCTACCCGAATCAGAAATTTGGAAAACTTGGGTTTCCGCTCTTGATGAAATTCAGCGCAAAAAATTCCTCGAGGCACTGGTACACAATTGTGGCTCGGGTACATCGAACTTTGCCTCACTGGGAACAGCGAAGGAGTTGGCAGACGTGTCATCCAAGCCGACAGATATTTCTATTTTGTCTCAATACGCCAGCTTTATGGTCTCTTTCGGCATGCTGAATCAACAACTCGCATGCTTTCAAAATTTAGTGTTTGTTTCTCTTTGTGCAGTTACATTGGAAAAGACCGAGGACAAAGATGGTGTCCATGCAGTTATGCGGAAAGTTCTCGGATCCGCTGCTTCTTCAAAACAGCTTGTCAAACTTGTTCGTGGCGCCAAATGGGCGAACAGTCTCGTATCGCTCTTGTCTAAGACAAAGTGGGCATCCAGAAGCTGGGATATCCTTTGTGTCGGTATGGTGGCCGTATTTGTGTTGTTTTGACAAGCTAACTCTGTCAAGCCCAGCGTCCAGTTAGCTTTTACGCCCGGCTAAATGATTGTTCTGTGGATCCAAAGGAAGTATTGGAGAGCATGGGAACTAATGTCCACGAGAGCTTTTTTTTGCCCGAAGCTATAGACTCACCGGCGCCCTTCGCAATCCCTTTGATCGTAAAAAGGATTTTCAAGAACAGCAAGTCGTGCGTAAATCACTTCTGCTTTAAACATCTATGACTGATTTTTTCCAGCCTAAAGGTGATTTGCGAATGTCTGGGGTACGAATTATCCTCTGTCAGGTCTTATCAGCCCCTTTTCAAAAACGCCTTGGATGATGGCTATGCCAGGAAAAGGCTGGCATTAATGCCATACAAGCCGTCGAAAAGACACTGTCCGGATCATTCTTTATCGCCACTAAGTGAAGCTTCAACCAGGCTGAGAAATGGTTTGAAGCTAACCTGTGCAGATCACCAAGACCAACGGGCTCAGTGTCATTCTTCTCGCGGGGTCAATATCACAACTGAAGGCTCTGTTCTACCAGAAGGTAAGCCCGGCCAGCTATCCAGATGTTTGGTAGTTTTTCATCAACTAATTTTTCTCAGCTCAAGATGATGATAATTCCGAATTGATGTCTCAGTGCCAATACACGTGCCAGTCTCCTCGAGGTGACAACACCCAAACTACTGATTCTCCTCTGTCATCAGCCCCCGTGGGCCCAGAAAATCATTTTGGTCTATCGGAGGATACAGCTAGTCAGCCAGTTGCAGTGGTCCCCACCCCAAGTACGGAAGCCCAACCTCCTAGTACAAAGGATGCGTTCTCAATTTCCTGCCCCGGGTCGAATGCGGACACGATGAATATAAGTTTCCTAAGCTCAGAGACACCTGATCATACCTTAGGGGAGTCAAATGTTTCAATGTCTCCCCATAGCATGAGCCCTAGCATCACAAATTCTGAGGACACTTCGAATACAACCCAATTACACACATCAGCAGCAGCAACATCGTGCAATCGTCCTGGTGGAGACATTGTTATTATTCCGTCAAACCCTTCGAGGCTCGACAAAGGTTTTTCTATTTTATCACCGTCTAGCCATCAAGCATTGATTGCCGGTGAGGGGTCTTCGTCAAGTGATTCTTTGACCGCGCAAATTGCTGCCGATGACGATTCAACCGAGTCTTCGCCGAGCACTCAGAATGTAGATTGCGCCTCAATGTATTACCAACCTGATTCAAATGCAGAACTTGCTCAACCTATGCTGGTGACTTTTGATAACATCTACTCATGCCCCGGTACGTGTGTCTATTTAAACATGGGCTCGCTTGAAATGGGTCTGGCACATTGAGCATAACATTCTTTTGGGCTTTTCTCTCTGGCTTTTTGCTGATCTAGTCGAGTCTTTCTGCTTAGAAAGTACAAATCCGGCTCCGAATAAGCCGCTGGCAAGTACATGCGGTACACGATGTGCAAATGCTGCCACAGGGATGCACGCTGCTAGTTCAGCCGGTTCCAAGTCATCCGGGACTGCTCGTTGCCCTGATTTAACAAACGAGACCGGGGAACAACGTCGCAAAAGGAGGCGAATTTCAATGGGTACAGATATCATCCGGCATGTTGGGGGTTATCCTAGCAATACCGGTCGGTTGCAATCTGAATTCCACCAGACAAATTCGGCGGGATGGGGCCCAGTGCCGCCTGTTGCTACTCCAACAGGCTTAAGCGGTCCCCAGAAAGTCATGGGCACTTATTTTCATAGCTGTAACCCCCTGCTCGATAACAGCGAGCTCGGCAATCTCTCAGTGGAGACTGACCGAGAGAGGACACGTTTTAACCCGCTGGCAAGCAATGCGTTATTCAGCCTCTTCCCGAACCCCCAGCTCGACGACAGCCAGCTCCACAACATCCCGGTAGAGACCGACCAAGAGAGAACACGTTTCAACCCGTTGGCAAGCGATGCGTTATTCAGCCTCTTCCCGAACCCCCAGCTCGACGACAGCCAGCTCCACAACATCCCGGTAGAGATCGACCAAGAGAAAACACGTTTCAACCCGTTGGCAAGCGATGCGTTATTCAGCCTCTTCCCGAACCCCCAGCTCGACAACATCCAGCTCGACGACAGCCAGCTCCACAACATCCCGGTAGAGACCGACCAAGAGAGAACACGTTTCAACCCGTTGGCAAGCGATGCGTTATTCAGCCTCTTCCCGAACCCCCGGCTCAACAACATCCAGCTAGACGACAGCCAGCTCCACAACATCCCGGTAGAGACCGACCAAGAGAGAACACGTTTCAACCCGTTGGCAAGCGATGCGTTATTCAGCCTCTTCCCGAACCCCCAGCTCGACGACAGCCAGCTCCACAACATCCCGGTAGAGATCGACCAAGAGAAAACACGTTTCAACCCGTTGGCAAGCGATGCGTTATTCAGCCTCTTCCCGAACCCCCAGCTCGACAACATCCAGCTCGACGACAGCCAGCTCCACAACATCCCGGTAGAGACCGACCAAGAGAGAACACGTTTCAACCCGTTGGCAAGCGATGCGTTATTCAGCCTCTTCCCGAACCCCCGGCTCAACAACATCCAGCTAGACGACAGCCAGCTCCACAACATCCCGGTAGAGACCGACCAAGAGAGAACACGTTTCAACCCGTTGGCAAGCGATGCGTTGTTCAGTCCATTTTCCAATTCTCATTTCCACAGCACCACGACACAAGTTGGTCTCAATTCGTCCGAAATCGACTGTGCGACGAGTGAAGTTTTTTAGTCTTCAGAACCGTAAGAGCTTTACGTGATACCAACAGGATGGGGTAAGCATAGAGGGCATTTCATTGACTTTGGACAAACTCTGTACAAACATGTGGACAGACACGCTAGTATACAAACTCTGCTAAGATCCCAGTGCTAAATGAACTTTGTGTTCTATGCGTCTCACTTTGATGATAAATATGCAGGTACAAAAGCTAGACAGTTCAGAAATTCGAACAAAAAGGTGAAGCGCCACAATATTCCGGCCATGCAGATTATGGTAGAACGATAATCAGACAATCTAGTTGTGCGTCAAGATCCAAAGTCTTCACGAGTGGAATGTAGGTCCCTGGTTTAAGGACTTCGCCGGCAACCTGCACGTCTCCAGACAGAGGGAAGAATAACAACGTTCGATTATCTTCATCTAGTTTCTCAATCGAAGCCTTTCCGCATATGCGCAAGAGTAAAGCGAAATGGCCCTAATCCAGTTAGCAGCGTTTCCGCATTGAATCCGTAAGAGCAGATTGTTCGTTTACCTGCATTGTAGCGTATCCCAGCTTCTCCAATAACGGCCGCGCTTTGGCTTCACGATCTTTGTCCACACATCCCAAAAGGTTCTTTTTTCCTTTCTCCTCCTTCATCTCGGCGCTCTGGGAAACCCATGCTGCTAGGCTCTCAAGTTCCGGCAAGGCATCGGCATTGATATTAGTCGGCATGACTGAGCTGGGCGTGGCTGAGCAAAAGAGAGCACACTGGAGGGCAGAACAAGCTGTTAGCCTAAATCATCTCAGGAACCTAGAAGAGGACCGCAAAGGAGTTACCTGCAATCAAGTGGATTCCCTCCAAATAATGACCATGGAGGCGATGGTTTACTCAGAGTGAGAGTATAAGAAGAGCCCACAGTGGCGGGGTAAAAGGAAGTGGGATGAATGATTTAGTGCCCAACCCCTTAGCTCCGACTGCGGAACAACTAATATCCGAAAGAGCGTGACTTGGATGTTGAAGCTCGCCTCCAAATACTGCTCCGCACGAATTTTCAAACTGTTCGAAGCTCGCAAATTCCGGCGAATCAAATTCAATTCCAATCTTAATTTCGGCCTGTTTAATTTCCCGGTGACCGAACTGATATGACGGGGCTGGAGGCACGTCCATATATAAGGCTGTCAGCCCACCTGTATCTAGAACAACAACTTCTACCTACAACGTGGACACCGAGCTATCACTTTTCAACACGGCCTTCGAATCTATGGCCTACAATTCGTCAAACTTCGCGAACTTCGAACAGGCTCGTGAAGTAATTCTAGTCCTTTATAGGAAAACGAGTTTGTGAAACGAGCTTTCGGATTGCCCGGTTCCTACAAGAACACCTCTACCAATTCGGTCTAAAATATCAACTGCATTTATTCTCGAAGAAGCCATCGCTATACAGTCGTTCAAACTTTGAACGCATCGCGTCTTTTAGCCTTGTTAGCGTTTCAAGAATCTTGCCTTTCGTGGAGAAACGTCGAACTCCAAGTACATCTCTACCACCACTAATTTGAAACGGCAGGATTGGCGCAGCGACTTTAATGATGAACGATCCACATTAAAAAATGTGCGAGCGAGCAGTTCGCTGGGCAGATTGAGAAGGCGTGACATCTAGGCGTAGTCACAGGTAGAATTCGCAAATTGATGAGTCGAAAGGGGACATGTTTCGCTCAGCCCTAGCCTAAGGCTCCCATCGTGGCGTCAAAACTTCCTAATTCGGTAAAGCCTCAATAAATCACATGACTGAGAAGTAGACTGCGGCAGGTGATCTGATTAGAGACGGAATAAATTACCTGCTTTGATCTTATACCCCGTATTTGCCTTGAGAGATGATGTATATTTTCGTTTACACTACCCATGAGTTAAACACGTGAACTTAAGCGCTATCATATGTAAAGCTGCCACAATATACTAAAGCTCTGACCGAAGTGAACCTCTTCCTTTTCATTCCCCTTCGCCCTACAGATATTCATAATATTCATGAATTTATCAATCGCGCCGAAGATGGATCCCTTCGCAAAATTCCCAACCGAAATTATTTGTCAAATTCTCGAATCTTGCTGCGACTTCACCAGCTTGGACGGTCTTCAACAAATATCTCCCCGAGTGAAGGAAGCTTTTAACGGCTCGTTTAAAAACACCACCGAACACGTCCTGAGGAACTGCTCCCTCACCTCGCACGGGCTTCATTACTATTTCACGCTCCTAGCCTCCATTCTATCGACATCATTCACTCCACAAGCCCTGCTAGAAGAGCTCGCTGGCTCACCAGGGGATGTTATGCGACCTATTTCCCTTTCCACCACCCACTCACTAGCTGCGGTGCATCAGACTGTAAATACAGCAGCGAAAATGCATCTCACTGCCTGCGCTTGTCTTCAGCGTTTCATCAATCGGCTCGAGTCCGCAGAGCCCCGCCGTCCCATGGCTTCCGATGCCAATGTTGTGGATTGGGTGAATAGAAGACTTCCACCACCCAAAGGTGGCGAGATAATCCAATTCGATGTTGATCCACCATCATGGATCGAGTCTTATCGGACGCATCGAGGCCTCTGGAAACTTGAGCTCTTCCACCAGATCCATAATGCTGCAACAAACCACTGGCTATGGTCTACGCATGATCTGGACTGCTTCATTGAACAATATATGGAATGGAGTAAGTATCCGGGGGGAATAGAAGAGCTCCAGACGATTTCGGAGTGCGTGGTCGAACTATGTTCCTCCAAACCAACAATTCTCAGCCATCGGGCTTCGTATTTAGTTGCCGTTCCGTCACCAACCGATTTGACGGTACAGACATGCTGGCCTCTGCCAAATATTCAAGATACACAAGTTGATTCGACATGGCGTCGGAGTCCGACATTCGCGGAGGGCAGAAACGCCGTGCTTGGTTATTTCAATGCCCTTCGTGGTGGTGAAAAAGGCCGTAGTTATCACGCTCTCTGGAAAGTGGATTTCAAAGCATTTCGACGACTTGGTATACCTATTTGGGACATGTGGCGATTGTACCAAATGAGACTCATGCCCCAATCTCGCAGTGTGCTTTCACCACGGGGCAACTTGGTTGGCGGAGAGTCAGAACAAACTGAATGGCCCCCTTCGATTAGAGCCTACATATGGTTTAGTTTAGCAGAGGAGGGTGATGTGATTGTACAGCTTAGAAAATAAGTCCTGAAGTCCTGAGGTCTGAGTTGTTACCAGCCAGTTCTTTAAATAAAAGAGTGCATTTCAACGAAAATACTAAGTACGTAGTAGGCCTTGACAAGTCCCGCAGCACCGCCGCCTCCCATGGGATAGGCGGCTTCCGCTCCGGCTTCGCTTTATATTTATATTAGTATATTAGTATATATTAGTAGTTATATAAGACATATTATCTCAGATTCAGCACGAATACATGCTTATTTCTGCTCTGGCTTCTCTCTCAATTTCCTACCTTAACATAATTCAAATTCAACCTCTAGGCCATTACCGGTGTGTTCCAATGCAACTTGATTCCAAAATTGCAAGACCTCATCGCTTGGTTCAAATGCTTTAGGGTCCTCCTCACTAGACCAGGTCACTTTCGCCATTTCGTTCTCCACCTGATACCAAAACCGGTGTTGAGGTCGGTGCGAAACGTCCAATAACATGGAATCTAGTTCAGACATCCGAAGAGCAGCCTTGCCAGCTGATAGATAATATTGATTGAACGATTCGTGTACAAATTTGGTTCGGAATAGTCTGCACTTGCGGTCCTCTGGAGGAACCCAATCCAGATCGGTGTCATCCATATCATCATAGTAGGAGCCAAGACCATCTGAATCATAATCGGGCTCCTCGGCGTCGTCGTCCTGTTCAAACATCCATTTCCCACATGGCGTGATAGGTATATAATCCACGCTCACACCTGTTAGATGTGACCAAAGGGGAGGTTCAGGATTATCACCATTCAACGGCCAGAAAAGTTCTTTTCCCAAGACACATTGGTTCCCACCCATCACTGTCAATTGTTGGGAAAATTCTCGTAAACGCGAGCTTAGAGGATAGGGGTCACAAAGTATTTACCCACAGCCCCACTTTGAAATCACCCCAACAACCACCCACCTTTTTTTTCTTCTTCCTGCACCACCCCTATGCCTCCCCCTGGCATAGAAAATAGCTCATTACGTAGAGCAAAAGGTGAGCTTTCAGCTGAGCAGCGCTTAGCTATTCTCTACGCTTATCAAGGTGGTGTCACGCAGTCAAACCTAGCTATTGAATTTAGGTGCAGCCGCAAAACGATATTCAATACAATTCAGCGCATTAAAGAGCATAACACTCTCGAATCCCTCCCGGACGTTAATCATCCAAGTTTTAAAGGACTTCCGCCTTTTTAAATACCGATCGAAACAGAAAATCCCAATTGGAAGGGTTTTAGCTCGGAAGAGATATAACTTTGCACGGCGTTGGCGTCAAAATTGGTCGGGAAATGGAGTTCAAAGTTGGATCTTCTCAGATGAGTGTTCCGTTCAACGAACCTCGAACTGTGGACCCCAATGGTGCTGGCGTTTTCAGTCCGAGGCTCACCGAAAGGAACTAGTGAATGTTAAGGCACATGTTAAAGACATATCTCAAATGGTTTGGGGTGCTATTTGGTTTGGTGGCCGTTCAAATCTGGTTATAATGGAGCGGGAGAAGGATATTGACCCTGACTCTTTAAAAACTGGATATACCGCGGTATCATATATCAGCGCACTCGAGAAGGGCCTTATTCCAAATTACGAACCTGGTTTTATCTTCCAGCAAGATAATGCTAGGATTCATACTGCGAAGCTTACACAGGAGTGGTTTGAAACCCATGGGGTATACGTCGAGGGGTGGCCTGCGCACTCCCCTGATTTAAACCCTATTGAACCTGTTTGGCGGTGGTTGAAACTCAAGCTTTTTGAATTATATCCAGAGTTGATACATATGGGAAGGTCGAAGGAGGATTGGAAGGTTTTTAAAAGATGTATACGGCATGCTTGGGACGCAATACCGCAGGATAAAATAGATAGATTGGTTTTGAGCATGGAGAGACGATGTAAGGCGGTACAGAGAGCTAAGGGATACTATACAAAATATTAGATGTTTTTTCTAAGCGAGAGATTCATAGGGTTTAAACCTATTTTTTTAAATGTCAATAGCATGAAAATTGGTGGTGCTACGTAGTACCCGGTCCTTGCCAAGTAACCCTACCCCCTTCGGGTGTTGGGTTACCACACCGTAATGTAAACTCTTGCTCAATGTAAATTTTACACCACCCACCATTTTTACTACCATTTTACATCCTACCAACATGCCGGAAAAAAACCCAGATTTGGAGAATGCCCTTGCAAACGTTCTCTCTGCATGGCATGCTCGAAAAAAACCAAAAATAGCCCCATTGGCGCGAGAATTCGGCGTTCCTTACAATCTGTTGTATAACCGGGTTCACGGTCGGGGATCTCGTTCGACGCGCCGTCCTACCAATTCGACATTAAATCCGGATCAAGAGCAAGCCCTAATTAGCTGGATCACTATATTAGATGATGCTTGCTCTCCACCAACTGCTAGAATGGTAGAAGGGTGCGCTAATTCAATGATTCAACGCGCCAATGCGGAAGAAAACACGTCGCGTCCGCCGGTTGATAAAAACTGGGTATACCGGTTTTTAAAACGTATCCCACCTACCCATAACCTTCAGTTTATAAAACAAAAACCAAAGGAAAAGAAGAGAATGGAGGCTGAAAATATTGGCTATCTGACTACTTGGTACCAGCGCTTAAACCAGTATATCGAAAGCAACAAATTAAGCCAGCGGGATATCTACAACTTCGACGAAACTGGCTTCCAAATTGGCCAAGGAAAGCCTCAAAAAGTCGTTTCAAAAAGCCAGACTCTATTTTCACCAAATGGAGGTATTGCTGAGGGTATTACCGGCATTGAATGTATTGCTGCCGATGGCTGGAAGATGGCACCTTGGTTCCTAGTTAGGGGTAAATTCCATATGGAGAATTGGTATAAAGATACCAACCTTCCGGAGGATTATACCCTAGTAACTACACCATGTGGGTATACTACAGATCAAACTGCAGTTCAATGGCTTCGCGCTTTTCATCTAGCAACTAAGGATCGTACTACTCGGGGTAGTAAACGCCTTTTGTTAATGGATAACCATGGATCCCACCGTACTCCAGAATTCATCAATTTTGCAGCGGAGAATAGCATTATCCCCTATTGCTTTATACCCCATACGACGCATATCTGCCAGCCGCTAGATAGCAAGCCTTTTCTTGCTTTAAAGCATTGCTACCAGTCTAATAACAACGCTGTTGTTCAATGGGGTGGATCGGTGGACCGAAAAGCGGATTTTTTTCGAGAAATTGTATCTGTTCGCAATGCTCTCACCACCCGAGTAATTAAGTCGGGATTTGCTAATTGTGGCATTTCCCCATTTAACTATGAAAAGGTGCTTAATCCGCTTGAAAAAGTTATGGATTACGGGGATGATCTAGTTGTCTTTGGTGAAGACGACGGATCAGAGGTTGATTTTCCTAGCTCTATTACCAATTCACCACCCCGTGGAATCTCTCGTACAAACGAGAGTACGCGTAAATTGGAGGCAGATATCGAATTGCTAGATAGCGAGCTTTATGCATCTATTCAGCACCGAGCAAAGCTACTATGCCGGAGTGCGCGAATTTCAGCGGAGCTAGCTACGCAGCTTGCTAAGGACAATACCACCCTGTTACGCCATAAAGTCCACCGAGATGCCCGTATTACCAAGCGCCAGATCAACCTAGGGGGCCCCCTTACTGCTGGTGATGCCAATCGAATTATCCGGGCGCGAGAATCGAAAGAGCAGGTGCAAGAAGAGAGGCGGTTGAAAAAGCGGATTTCGAAGCCATTAACTACGGAGGATACACCAACCCCAGCACCCCGTTTTATTCCATGGATTCCACCAATGGATGATATATCTACTATTTGAGTATTTGTTAGGATTTTTTTTAGATTTTTATAGGCGTTGTACGTTGAGAAAAATGCAAAAATATTTCATGCGTTCTTTAAAATTTACATTGAGCAAGAGTTTACATTACGGTGTGGTAACCCAACACCCGAAGGGGGTAGGGTTACTTGGCAAGGACCGGGTAGTATGTAAAGATATATATTTCATGCGGGTGGAGTGAAAATGCGGGTGGGTAAATACTTAGTGGCAGGGTCTGTATTACGTCACTGCAACTGAAAAGTGATAGCCCTCAAATTAGCAGGCTATGGTGAATGCTTGATTGTCTATATCCGTCACAGTCGGTTGACGTTTCAACGATTTGGCTGGATGGCTTGCTTTGCATCAGAAAATAGCTCTTGAATACCATTTACCTCGACCTCATCAGCACTCACTCTTTTGTGGCGCTCGAATCACGGCACAAATTGACTACAGATGAAACATTATGCTTTTTGCCAAAGTTTGTTTCGTTGAAGGAGCTAGTAGGTTTTGGCATTATTCCTGGGCAGGTGTAATAAAGCCGTACATGAAGCAAAAATATGTTTTAAGGAAGAGGGAAAAAGCCCAAAGCCCCAAATTTTATGAGGCCAAATGAAGTCACTTGTATATCGGAGTGCCTTAAGTGCAATCACCAATGGCCCGGTATATCCTAGGAGCAGTCTCATAGTTTGCTGACAGCCCTACCTTTTCCATCGGCATGAGCGTGGAAAAACAGCATCAGTCTTTCGGATATCATGGTCACATATGATATTACCAGCATTTAGCTACCGTTTGGGCAGGCTCTTACGGTTCGAGGATGAATGTATATAGCACGAAAGCAGGGAGACTGGCTGTAGTAAGTAACTGAGATATGACAACAAGGCTTCCTCAATTCCTATGATTACCTGTGGGGCTCCGTTCATGCGGTCCAAAAAAGTGCTATGAACTATGCTCATTGTGCCGTTTGTTTTGAGATACTTAACATAAATGGTGCTCCTTTACTCCGTATCAGCGGATTGATCTTATAACCTCAGCAGCAATCCGAGTCCTCCAAGATGACATCTGATCGTTTCGTCACTCGACCACTGTTTGTTTCTATCTGACAATACTTGATCCCGACTAACATTTGATAGATCGATTGAAGACTGGCCGTTATCCCCAGAAGCTGCCAGACAGCGGCAATCAACCCTTGTACCACCATAATCTACAAAAGTAGCCATTGTGACCCGGAGTGCGGATCCTGAAGAGGTAAGCCGGCTCTTTTCGCCAATGCGAACAGAATTTCCTTCGAATGGGAAAAATCCGGTTCCAAGGCCGCGGCGAGTAGGCGGAAGAATCAGGCTCGTGCATGGAAAAGGCGCCGTAATCGAATCAAGGCAAACCAGAGCTTGATGGCGGATGTCGATGCGTACGAGCGAAGTTGGCAAGCTTTCGTACCCAGTGTTGCAGCAAAGAGCTCAATTGCTTATCCTGAATGGATTCAAGGAACTTGTGTTGGCCAAGCAGCCACAGCGTGCCGTGGCAGTTCTGGATCGTTGTCCACAGGTACTTTCCGCTTACGTCCTCAAGGTTCAAGGTTGCTAACCACCTCCACAGCCCCTACTGTTAGCTTCTAATACATACAGCTCCATCAAACAGTTTGTCAGATACTGTGGCAGCTACCTTGTTTCAATGCGGTGGAGTGACCGTAGCATGATTTTGAAGTACATTGCCTAGACGGAACAGCAGGGCGGGTGCGATGGCGAATAACGGCGCCATTGAAGCTGCAGGTCACGCGGGCTCTCAAAGTCCAGGAGGAAACGTAAAAAGCCGAGCTTGCTAAGAATTTGTTGCCTACGGCAGATTGGACGTTCTTCGAAAGTCTGAAAATCACCAAGACGAATTCTATGCTCTTGCATTTTGAAGATTTTGAATAGCGTCAACTCGTGTTCGACCGTTCAGATGGACTCGGGCTTTTTCTATGGCGTCTCATATTTCCTGCAAGGTTGGGAAAATAGAATAGCCACTCTGATTCTCAGTCAATGGAGCATGGCATCTTTATCTTCACCGGTATGGTCGTATCCCGCAGGCTGATAAAAGGCCCCCACACGAATTATAGACTTTGACAAATGACCATCGCGGTGAGCAGAAGCAAATAACATAAGCCCAGCCCTCGAATTCTCGCCGAAGATGACAGATTTACAGACGCTTCAGCAGCTCTCGTAGGTCCAAGTTGTGTAGGAGCAGGCAAGCCAGATACTGTAACAGACTCCACCGTCCTAGCAGTTGGAAGTGTGAATGTCGGAAGTGTGAATGTCGGAATTATCAAAGTCAACGGCATGAAGGCATTGTTCCAGGCTATAGTTTTGGCAGTGCTCGTGCTTTGAACGGTCGCCATTTTGTTTTCGACCCAAGCGTCAGTGGTACTGTAGGGTCGCTCAGAGTGTTGTTGCCTGCAAAACCTTTGATACTAAGATTTGTCAAATTTGAAACAAAGCAATGCGATTGGCTTTGGCCTGTTACTCACTGAGTTTGTGCATGTGATGTTGACAGAGAAGTTCTGATGGCTGTTCAGACTTCAGTCGGCATGGCCTGGCTTTCGGGAAAGTATTTTGTCTTTCAGGTGATCGTCGCATAAGATTGAGCGACCAAAGGTATTCCAAGAGAACAAAATTGAGGGACTCCAGACGAGGAATGAACTCATATTTATGTCGTCGTTTCTGTTACTTCTTTCTTGACCTTTAAGAAACCGCTAGAGTCATCGTTTCCCCTTCACCACTCTCACCACTCTCACCTTCCTCACCTTCCTCACCTTCCTCACCTTCCTCACCTTCCTCACCTTCCTCACCTTCCTCACCTTCCTCACCTTCCTCACCTTCCTCACCTTCCTCACTTTCTCATGTTGCCATGTTCTCGTATGGGCTCTTAACTCCCTGGTGGTTTTTAACTACTAGAGTACAATCACGTAAATCTTTGTATATAGGAATAGCAGATTGATATCAACCGTAAGAAGGTATTCCCTCTCGTTGCCCAAGGTTCTCGTTTTTATCATCGTAGTTTTCATGACTAGCGGCTTCGTAAAGTTCGTCATCGAGTAGGAGTATTGATATACAGTAAAGATAATTTCAAGTTCAAACGTCTAGGGACTTTCAGGAGACATCAATCACGCACGATCATTTCTCTCTGGGCGCTTTGTTTTGATTCTGAGCATGTCAAGAGGAATAATAAAAAAACAAAGAGTCTCAATTTGAAACAAAGGAAGGCTATCTATCGGTCTAACATCTATCAATCTATTTATCAATCAAGTGATCTGGCAAATTTAAACCCCCAATTTAACGAAAACAAATAAGGCGAAAGCAAAGCATCAATGGGCAGCGACTGCTGCTCCTGATCGTTGGCCAATTGGAGTATCGACCGAGCCTTGGGATTGGATATTCTGGGTAATTGTGTCCCGGTACAGATCATACAAGGCTTTCGCCACCGTAAGGCGTGATTCTCTCTCGATATCGTCCAGATTATGCCATTTCTCCACTTTCTCCCTTTCTGCAATGAATTCCGCTTCCGTGCGTATGGCTCTCTGGCCAATTCCGAGGTTGGACTTTTTCTGCACGGCGTTGGTGTTCGAGTTCAAAGCAGCGCCGGAGGAAACCGGATTGTGAGGCGCCTCATCTCCGTCAAGGTTGATTGGGTTGGTTGACGACCCCTGTCCTGGACGCAATTGCGCAGTGGAGGAAGGGGGCACTTCATGTTGCCCCGCAGATGAGAGTTGAATTGCAGGTGAATTGAGACGTTGTGCAAGCTGTCGTTCAGGTGATTGCCTCGCTGCTGAGCCCAGTGGGCAAGGGGTGGGAGACCGATCCTGGAAATCGAGAGTGGGTGACGGTGATTGAATGTACGAATGCTTCGGGCTGGGTGCTTCCTCCGTGTGTGATTTTTAAAGGAAAGGTCTTCCTTAAATCCTGGTTTACCGGCCTTCCTAACGATTGGCGTTTTGAAGTGAGTCCTAATGGTTGGACTTCGGATGAAATTGGACTTCGCTGGCTTGAAAAGCTCTTTATTCCTACTGCTTCTTCACGTACGAAGGGGGGTATCGGCTTTTGATACTTGACGGACATGGAAGTCATTTAACGCCGAAATTTGATAAAATTTGCGAGCAAAATAAGGTGATACCAATTTGTATGCCTGCTCATTCATCCCATCTTTTACAACCTCTCGATGTCGGCTGTTTTGCGGTCTTAAAACGGTCTTATAGTCGGGCGGTTGAAACGAAGATGCGGAACGGGATCAACCATATTGAGAAACTTGACTTTCTTGAAGCATACCTAAAGGCACGAATTGAAGCTTTTAAACCGAAGACAATTAAAAGCAGCTTCCGAGCTACCGGTTTAGTGCCATTTGCACCAGATCAAGTGATTTCAAGGCTCAATATCCGGCTTCGAACGCCTACCCCCCTCCTAGCCGGGGTAGTGAATCAAGTCGAAATTTTACACCAAAAACGCCAGCTACAGAGAAAGAACTACGTCGGCAGGCTTCATCAATCAAAGCTTTACTTTTTACAAGATCTCGAAGTCCACCTAGCCCGTCAGATCGTGCATTAAACCAGCTTGTAAAAGGCTTCCGTCTTACAATGCAAGGTGCTATCTTACTCGCGAAAGAAAACAAGGAATTACGCGCCGCCAACGAGAAGCAGAAGCAAAAGCGTACTCGATCCCGACAGCAGATACCAGCTGAAGCAGGGCTCACAGTTCAAGAAGCTTCTCAATTGATTACTGAGCCGGTGGAAGCAGATGAAGCACCTCCCTCCCCTCCACGAAGAAGCCCTTCGCCGGCTTTACAACCACGTACACGGGCGCCACCAAAGTGCAGTGGTTGTGGAGAAATAGGGCATAAAATCAATAGATGTTCAGCTAGATAGATGATTTTAGTGTATTTAATTTAATGGAGTTTTGGTTGAGGTATATGCATTTGAAATTAATATATTTGGTTGGGGTGGCCACTCGCTTGTAGTGGCCACTCGCTTGTGAAATACGTTAATCATAATTTTTGAAGAGCTGTATAATAAAACCTTCAATTTGAAGCTATTCACCTATAGTATCTATGATCAATTTATATTGTACAGGTTCCTCAGCTTCCGCTTTACCCCCTTGGCTATTGATCTCATCTTCTTCATGCTGTTGCATAGAGAGAGCAGCTCTAGCAGTTGCAGTTGCTATATGCTGTTTTCGAGCCTGGTGAATTCGGCGCCTTTCATCCTCATCCCTTGTTTTTATATGCCTTTTACAGCTGCTTCTCCTCGCCTCTGACTAGATTCGGTCGAATGTAGATTGTGATTGTTGAAGTATCTGTTCTCGGGGTTTTTATTAGTTGGCTGACGGTAGAGGGGTATCTACTAACGATGTGAAAGTACAAATCATTGCAGCAGCTTATAAATGTCTTTTAACGTTTTTCACATGCCAGCTGGACACCCCCATAACACATATTAAAAGCGATATACTTATGACTTATTTTTCAACAATCAACGTCTGTATTTTATTTCATCACTTGCCGATAGCTTTCGATAAGCATTAGAGTAAAAGAAGAAGTTCATCTAGACAACTGTTGTTGCGATATCATGTTGTAATTTATCGCTTTTACTATGTGTTCTGGGGTGTCCAGCTCGCTTGTGTGTCCAGCTCGCATGTGAAATACGTTATCACATGCAAATTCAGATAAGCCGAGATCTACCGATCGTCAGTAGGGAGTGAATGGGCACTCACCTTGGTGCTAAATGACAGTATCGCGAAGTTCGAGATTCAGTAGATGAGCCAAGGTTGCAAAATCATTCACAACAAACTTCAGATCGTAAAACGGTCTAATTGGCTATAATGGGTTTATTTTTCCAGTTGGCTGTTGGCAGTTATGTCTCCATTGGATAATAGTGATAGTGATCAACGCGATAGTCGGGAGAGTTGGTCAAGCCTCACGGCGTTGAGGTTTAGACCCAAGTGTTCAGGTCCATGGCCTTCGCACGCAGACTTAAGCAAATCTGGCCAATCACCAACGGTCGTTGTACGCCCGTGTGACCGTGGTAAAAGGGTGGTGTAATCATCACAGCATAATGACTGATTTCGGTGTTCTACAGGCGTCATTTCGACGCCATAGTTCACTGACCGGATAATCAGTGGGAAAAGAAATGGATACGTACATACTGTGAGGTTCACTGATGTTTAATTTGTTGGCATGGGATGCCACGAGCAGGTACAATGCGGAGGAGCTGCCGGTATATCTCATTCTCATCAGCTCCCTGGTAATGGACGCTAATTGAGGAGGTATATATCTTTTAATCCCCACTTTTACATTTGTTAAAGTCTCAAAATCTGACATAAATATTGTACAATTTAGAATTATTATACCAACACAACAAACCTTCCTTCCCACCCCAAAATTTAGGTGATCGTTGCGAGTTCAAAATATTTAGTTGATGTACGGCCAAACTTCAACAATGTCCGCGAGAGGACGTAGATTAGGTTACTTACTAGAATTGAGTCCCCTGAGCGATAGTGGTAACCATATCCCTGTTAAATTAGATTATGAAGTGTTATGAGATTTTCAAGCCTAAAAGGATTCAGCAATAATTCAAAATTGTTAGAACAACGTAGATGAAAGTATTCCGTGACCGTAAGTGCCGTTGAGAGAGTGCTTGGGTTATCTACGTCACTCTTGCGTGGATGACTAGCATAGTACGGTTAGTTATCAACTTGTAGCTAATAGGAAATACAAGATTTAGCTCGCGTTGATTTCTTGTTTGACATTCCCTATTTTTCTGAATGCGGCTGATAGATTACGCTTTGATATTTTCATGATGTAAGGTATCGACGCCTAACAGATGTCAACATATGAAGAGATGTGCTTACTTTAAGATATTTTACACAGATCTCAAATCTATGCCATGTCTATCAGACAATCGCCGCCCCACTCTCTATAAAGCTATAATGATACAAGTGTCAGCTTCTTTCGTTTGTTCGAAACTAGTATTCTACCTTCGCTGTTAATTGGTGGGCAGCCTAACCGGCGACCACGCCTACATTTATTCCTGCCAAACCTTCGTGCCAGGGACATTGTGTTTGTCCGGACGGATGCTGTTCATTGACGGCTTGGTAGCCGGACCGCGACACAGGGCACGTAATGACTCTCAACTGATGTCATCATTGCACGCTGCATATATAAAACATCAAGTGAACAGTCTTCGCCGCTCTAGCAAGAAATACTATAACATCGCCATCTCCCTCATTGCCACCCGGAACACGGCGAAAATGGGCCGCGCTAACGCCAATGACTCTCTTGGGCACAATGTCGAGGTTGAAGATTACACAAAGCGGCCGCCATATTTGCTACAGCCCTTGCAAGAATTTGGCGAAATCAAGTGGCACGCTCAATGCCAGTGTGGCGAGGTTAAATATGCACTGAGACGCGAAAGACCATTGAACGCCAAGTTCTGTCACTGTCGCCAGTGCCAGGTCTTGCATGGCGCGCCCTTCCAGTGGGCGGCTATATTTCCCAAAGAAGACATCCGGTTCGAGAAGGGGACTGAAGGTCTGTCATTCTATGCGGCCGGGGAGAAAAACAACAAGTACCAAACACCCACAAAGGTTTCATGCTCGTTTTGCCGTACTCCCATCATGGACGAAGGACGCAATATGTGCCTGCTGTTCCCGCAATTGATTGACTTTTCCGACTAGCCGGACGAGCAGCGGCACCGAGTGCAAACGTTCTTGCCAACGTAGGTTACGTATCTTGGCACGAGAAAATATTGGCAGTAATTAACCGTAACCGCTAGGTGCCACATCTTCTATGAAAATCGTTTGAGAGACATTCACGATGGAATTACCAAGTGGTCGGGAATGGACGAGCAGAGCCAGCAACTAGATGACGATGGTCAGCCGCAATATTGGGATGATAGCTTTGCATGAGTTGCGGGATTTTGTTCCGTCCGCCGGAGCGAAAGGTACCGAAGTATGATTCAGGCTGGACATACCCAGAAGGGCATGTGTACATAAGAAATAATCGTGAAATACCCGCCATTGAATGATTTCTCGACAACCACCTCTGCTGCCGGCATAGCAAGGTGGTCTTGGGCTACTTTAGCCATACAATTGAATTCAAACCTACATTCAAGGCGCTTTGATAATCTTATCCCCTCTTACTCAGTACTAGACTTACCCCGTACTAACATACATAGGATAAGTGGACCATATAAGGCAGACAGTGCCTATAAGGAGGTATGTACCATTGTACCATTGCCATTAAAAGCAGATGTTGAAGTGAAGAAAGACATGCTTCTAGCTAGCTGGTCACAGCGTCTTTTCTATGGGGACAACTTTGTCCGCTATAGCAGCCCGACTCATCCGATCCACTGTCGTTTCTGTCCCTAAATATAACCGAGGCAAAAGCGCGATTGTTCATGCCGCAGGTATATAAACTTGAGCGTAGCTCTAATGGTAACATTGAGCAAGAGGCGATCTTACTAGATAAGTGCACATGACCACTATCACAAGTATAAGGACTATAGAGCTCCTTCTGTCTCTTTCCCGAAATCGATCGCTGGTCCGAGTCTTGACAACCGTTATACATGCGTTATGAAATAATTCGGCGCCCTAGTAGCCAATGATTGGCATTGAATCGCTGAAAGCGTACTACACTGTCCCGGAAGATCTAGCACCATCGCGCGTGCTCCGCGCAAAGGCATGGCCTACACGCTTGGTCTAGTTCCTTCTCTTTGAACATTACAGTATGCCCTATGTGAAATATAATTTATGACAGCGGGCTAATAGCAGGAGGTGTAGACATACAATTGCGAAGTTCGGTGCGCAGAAGCTTGCCATGTCTATTTCTCACGGTAAGCTCAAGTTGGTCTGTCGAGCCTTTTGCTGTGCGGGGTTCAAACATTTGGTGCCAAAAGTTGTTCCCTGGAGCGCGAACATCACTACTGTCATTCTCGACTATAGGAACAGCTTATCGTCGCTTATAAACGCCATTGTGACCAGTGATCTCTTTCCGTCGGATAAATACACTATACCCGTGTGCCTGTAGAACGCAGCAACTACGCCCCTTCGTGATAAACGAGCAGTTAACTAATATCAATTTCTCGAACAAATACCCTGCGTGAAGCCTTGTTTGGTCTCTCCCAATCCGCACAAGGTTTTTGATACCACGTACTCCAGTTGATCAGGCGCAATGCCAGGATGTCTTGCTATCTCCTTCCCGTTCATAAAAACCAACAGCATCTCTTCTTTAACATCGGCAAGCGAGGAGATAGCGGGGCTTTCATTCAGGTTAATTATGACTATGCTTAGCATCTCGGTTGGTATCGCGGTAGTTATGCGCGTGTAGGTCGGTTCCACAACTGATCCGGATGTAAATTTGGAACTGAGGAAGCACACTATGGTGTACTTGTTGCGATCGACCAACTCACGGAATTCGTCGATTCTGCATCAGGTATTAGTCTAGACAATCTCCGACTATACGCTTTGGACATAGGTAGCTCAAGAGTCTACCCGTAGTTGCCCAACTTACGTTCTGATGAAATCCATATTGATAATATAATTGGTCGGGTAGTTGATCTCTTAGAACTTAGTTTTACAATCGTTTCGTTCTTCAGGATGAGACATCTCTTTGTAGTCGACAATGGTCGCTCGCGGGTCCTATAGCGGGCGCCTGGGAGACGGAGAGGGCGGAACCATCATACAAGTTTTCGTGACGTCACCTGCTTTTCAGAGTCAAAATACGCAGTCCTATGGCTCGACACAGCCAACACTAACGCCAAGGCTAGGAAAAAATGTCTATGATTTCTAGGGATGAAATTGTAGGCATTCATCGGTAATTCAACGTTGGGCCTCTCACAGATGAGGTGATTAGAACAAAAACATGAGCGTGTCATTGCTGATTGAATATCTCCAACGCACTACAAAGCCTCCATTTAAAAGGCTGTGAAAGATCTAACAGTATCTAACAGTCAGCCAACATTTCTTGACCGACTCAGCATCACTTTTTCTCAACACGACTCTTACTTGTCTCTCTCGCTGAGTATCTAAAGGCATCAAAAATGTCGCTGCAAATAGTTGCGGTAAAAAGAAGTCATGGGTTTCAACAGGCCTCAATTAGGATAGGTGTCCTTCAACGGTTCCTACCAAGCTTGTAAGTGACAGAAGCCGAGAGGTCTATAAATTAGTCCTCTACCTCCGGAAATTTGCTCTACAATTGATTCACTTGACTATGCAAGCTCGAGCAGGCCTTGTGTGGTTCTTTTCCTTTGACCCAGCACTAGAATTTCTGATGTACTGACGTCTACCGGATATATCGTAGACCTGAAACAGGACCTATGAGGAGATGTAACGCCTATCCTATACCACTGCCTCCCATGTCAGCCGATCAAAGAGACAAAATGTGGGCTGGTCAAAGCGTATATTCTTTGCAAACATCTCTCTCCGCCATAGCAGCCTACTGGGCTGATCTACTGTCCTGCCGCTGGATGTATCTCCAAATCGAAAGTGCGACTGCTCGTGCTGCGGGTAAGTAGACCTCTGCCCAATACTATCTGAAACTGGACTGACATCAAAGACGATGCGAAACAACCAGATCCGTGCATTCCGATCACCATGCACGAGCGCGAGGACCACGGAGCTCTTTGCCGTCTCTTGCGTCTCTGTCCTTGACCAATGGAGCATGTGAGTCATGAAATACTTCTCCGATCTAAAGGCTAATGATTGATAGTGAACCATTGAGAGCTCACCAGAGTGGCCCCTCAGGATCCAGCACTACCGTCAGTGCTCCGCGTAGACAATAGCCTGTACCATCCCCCCGCGAGGAATGTTGTTGACGCAGATCCTATCCTGTGAAGCACCTTTTAACGCTCGCGGGTCTCAGGGCAACGAGGGAGCACATTTTTATACTCGCGGGGCTCAGGGCAGCGGCAGCTGTGGCCACGGAGACTCTCAAGCCCACAGGCAAGAGAGGGACACCGTGACACATCGGAGTGTGAGGACCGAAGTCCTGATTTTCTTTGGCTCGGAATCCGGCTCCTTTTATGTCTATTCGGCTACATCTCTTCAAAGGAACTAGTTGCACAAATGGTAGCGAGAATCAATTTCTCGTTGATAGGCGTTGAAGTGCTTGAACGGATGCTGAAATGGCGTTTTGGAGACATTGCGGCCGACAGATTCAAGCCTCGAGTGTACGCGTGGGATCATTCCTCTCGAACTCCTGCGTTGGGTGTGGTGAAACACTTTGATCAATTGTTGAGAAGCGAGCAATGCCGCAAATATATGATTCCTACATATCATCTCATTTGCAATAAAATCGCTCAACGCGCTTGCACCCTACATCAGCCCAACCTAGCGGCGGTCACCGTCTCTTTAATGAGGGTTGAAATGCTTCAACAGATGCTGAGATAATGTTTTAGAGACCTTGTGGCCGACAGACACGCTCGATTGTACCTGCGGTTGGCCTGTTGTGCCAAGTACCACCACTTGGTTTCACTAAAATCAATCATATCCTTCCCCTAGCCCCGCTGCTCGAATGGTACTTCCTTCCTGTGTTATTCGCAGCCAGCTAATGTTGCCTCCACTAGAACTTCTGCTACATGGCGGCACAGACACTATGAACATACTCCCAGATCCAGAATGATGATTTTCTTTGGCGGAGAATAGATAGAAAGTCTAGACCTTGTTGGAAAGCCCGGAATAGGAACCTGATCCTAGTTTCCAGGACAACTAAGTCAGTCATTTCAGCTATCAAAGTTCATGATCTGGTTCCTCGTCGATCGTCACCCACCTCGTGGGATTGCAACGCTACTAATCCCCATCCCGGTGATATGAAATACCCTGTGTGATGAAATGCCCACCAGGTACTTGCACTTTCCGGCGCCGTCACTCCCAAACCACGAACTGCATATTGGCTGAGAGCAGCAACAACAGTAACCACTGGATTTCTTATTCGATATATCTTTTCAAACAAAAATTAGAAAGTGTTAAGAGGGCGAATTACAGGACGACACGGACTGCTAGAAAATCCGCTGTTTACTACCATGACGCCAAGATCATCCACAAAAATATTTGAGATGGATATGAAAGATAATCTTGCATCATTTCGTCTACCTAGTTGCCTATATTGATTTTTTATATCATTATTATTATGTGACCTGAGAATATACCAATTTTAATGGAACTCTTAGCAGAAAGGTACATAAAACAACAGTACTAATAAGGGGAATACACGGGAAGAGAACAATCATGTAACTTGATGTATGAAAAATACTAGCGCCGCTAAACGGAACAACCACCCCACAATCCTGTCCGCAAGGGAGTGCGTCATCACTTATTTACAGCCAAAGAGTCTTTGTTCATCACTTAATACTCTTCAGAAGGGCCACGATGAGGCTCATCTGGATAAATGCCCAGTGACAAACCTAAAACATTATTTCACTTGGCATGGACATTCACCTCGATTCTCCTCCTAAATATCGGGCCCAAGACCCTCTCATAACTGCAGCGCTGTCGGAAGGCAATGAGCCAGTGATCCTGCACATATTTCGCTATGACGACCACAACTACGGCATCTTTCCAGGGGATCACTCTTTGAAATTGCATGCTCAATCCCATCTCCAGAGTCTCCCAAAGCCAAAGTTCATTGTTTATGAAAGTGGGACTAATGCGCTCAATCAAGAATTGGCCCATTGTGAATTCACCGAAACTGGTCTCAATGATATTGGATATGCAAAAAGCCCGAGTGGCAAGCTAACTACTTTGTGGTGGACTGATATGCATCAAAATACACCAATCTCTATCCAATACCGATTTACAGCGTTGGTGTATTTCCCCCCACATGCAAGTGGTAGTTTGTCCAGCGCCAGCGGACCCCGACTCTTCATCTGGAAACGTACATCCAGGCTGATGCTAGTGGATGAAGAGACAGATACAGTGGCTGCCATAGTCCATGATATTACGACCGTCTCAACTAAATGCTGGACACTACAAATCCTTGTGCCCTTCGGTGTTTTAGCCTTACTGCTTTGACCACTTTTCTTACAATTTGCGAGAAGCTACGGAAGGATTCTAAGCGTTGAATGATTATCCAAACTGTTACATCCACTATATGAATCGTTCTTTTTTCGCGGGCACTCCTGATGAATCCCACACACACACACATACTGTACAATGTGCACTTATCAAAGTTGTGTTACGGGAATGGCCCGCTTGCTCTGATCGCTCGGAAATGAATGAAGTTGACGAGGCTTATGTCCACGCGCCGGGAACAGGAGATATTGCCCAAATTCTTCCAGTAATGTGCTACATAGTTGTTGAAGTCTTTTCTCTCTTAGAGATCATCCTTGTGTGGCGATCCCTGGGAATTTGTTTATGGCAGAGCGTACATGTTAACTGAAACTCGACTTGAATCATCTTTGGACAATAATTGAGACTTTTTAGCTGGTAAAACTCTAGGAGTTTTTGAACGGATTCTATAACATTAAGATTTCGCGCTAGGTCGGATCAAGTGAGCTCTGCCCTATATATATTAACGCCAACTTATACCATTTAATCGGTATACTAATTTAGCAATTAAGAAATCCAAGGCCGGTTCATACATGAGAAGGCCTAGCCATCTAAAGCAGCCGCGATTTGAATCATCCTGTTTCTTGTAGTGAAGATTTTGAGTTCGACTAGAGCAACGTTCCCCGGTATTTATGACCCGTCATCATGACGATTATCAATAGCCTTCATCTGACTGGTGCATTTGCTGGAGGCGATAGTTTCGAAAACCTGCACTGTAAGATACTGAACTCTGGTGTTCGTTTCCAAGTTTTTTTGTGGCAACAATTCGCTCATAGCCGTGTCGCAAGTCGGACTAATTTCAAAAAGATTAGGCATTTTGTTGGCTATAAAGATGGAGTTCCTTAAAGTGTCTTGCATAATTGAGATTTCTGATCTATCATTATGTATTTTCTTTTAGGTGGCCTCAGAACAACTAGCATCAACCGCCTCGCACTATCTACTCCAAGACACACATTTGCGATATCATCTATTGCCATGACATCCACCATCAGCGACGCGATCAAGAAGGATCACCGGAAGATAGAGTCGTATTACGAAAATATCATCAAGGCCTCAGATGAGACGGAGCAGACGAGATGGCAAAACCAGTTTACATGGGAACTGGCACGGCACTCCATTGGAGAGGAGCTTGTCGTTTACCCAGCCTTTGAGAAGTACGTGTCAGGCGGCGTCGAACTAGCCAACAAAGATCGCCAAGAGCATCAATCGGTAGGTACACATGTCCATTATCTCATTAACATGCTTAACATAATGAACTCAGGTTAAAGAGCATCTGAAGAAGTTCCAGAATTTGAAGCCTTCAGATTCTCAATTCATTCCTACCCTCAAGGCTTTGATGGACGATCTGTCTAAGCATATCGAGGAAGAAGAAGCGGATGACTTGCCCAAGCTGGAAGAAGTCCTCTCGCAAGAGGATAGTGAGAAGTACTCGACTTCCTTTGGAAGAACAAAGATGTTCGTTCCATCTCGTTCTCATCCCAGTGCCCCAGACAAGCCATCGTACGAGACGGCTGTTGGCCTTTTGACGGCACCAATTGACCATCTTTCCGACCTCTTCCGCAAGTGGCCTCACACCTCGGGAATGCCCAATCCGTCCACAAAATAAAGCTGGACGAGCAGTGTTCATTTTTTGAACTCGCTATAGTAGGCTCTTCCTCATAGTTTGTGCCTTTTCAATTTGCAATCATGATTCTTTTATCCCCTATCAAACTCGAATGAACCTCTATTTGTCACGTCTAAACTTTGGTAAAATTCCGTCCGCAATCATGATAGCTATGTGACACAGTTGTATTATTACGAAATTGATAAAACCAGAATCACGAAACCGTCCTTTGTCGTAATCAAAGACTTGAATTTATATTGGACGATGAGACTAGGACCTGACTTCATCTATAAAAAGCCAAGATTAGAGTAAGCAATTCCGGCATATTAGTAAAAATTATATTTCTTCCTTATAGGTTAAATCATTCCTAGTAGCTTAACGAAGATCTTAAATTAATATTTCCTAAAAACGCTTTGGTAAATCTACTAGCTACATTCTTCTTAGTATTAACCAGCCAAGCACCGCTGCCAGATACAAGCACGGATCATCGTCCCAGCCCATACCCGCCCAGTAAGTTCCGCAAGGATTTTTGTCGAGCAGAACGACCGTCCACGTTCCTATCTCTTCGTGAAACTTCAGCTCTTCCACCTTAGCCTGATGGTACTTTGCACGAGCGGTGCTACCCGGCTTCAATTGGAGGGCCGGCACGGTGTGTCCACTCTACGCAGACAGCCCGAACTTGAATTTCTTGTGACCACTCTTGGCTACGTCTTGCTCAATGTTCACTTCTTTCTCATCGAGATCGGTGTCAACCGTCTTTCCCCCTACAGATGAAGTGAGTTCCACCTTCTTCTGTCCGGTGTCAGATGTTTTCCCCAATTCGCGAAGATTTCCCGGAATTCTAGACTTCCTTCGACCCTTGTATTCTTCATAGTCCTCCCGGAGATTCGGCTCTCCTAGAGCTTTCAACTCAAATGGATGAAGCGCCCACGATTCATGTCCCGTCAGAGCGGCGATAGATGCAATTAGCAACGTGGGTGTTGGGCTGTGCTTTGACGCATCGATAACAGGGCTGTCCCCCGTCACAATTTAGGTTGCTTCTTCGGCAGCGCACGCATTCTTCGTCAGACGATTCTCCTTCTCATAATGGGCCTACCGAAGAAAATCCTATCGGTAGTGGTGACTCGGATGCGTGATAGAGTCTGGTCTTCAGACCATTCTGGACTCTGTAACTGCAGGTCGATTGCCTGTTGATGCACGCCTTGCAATGCCGTCCACGGTCACACATCCTCCCACTTCCACTCTGATTCCCGTTATTGACCTCTATTCGATGCCCAAGAGAAATTAAGGCTGCAAAACATCATAAAAAGAAAGAACCTCAAAAAGCTGATAATTTTACTTGTCAATATGATGAGTGAACACGTTTCTGACAATAAAATGAAATGATGGCTCGAAGGAAATATTTATTTTGACGGCGGGCTCTTACACATCACATCACATTGCGATGCGCACTTTAAATTCATCGGGCTTCTCGTCACAACAATATACCCTTTGAAAATACCCATTTGAAGAGAAGCGGAAATAGCTACCTTTAGCCTAGCCTGCGTCATCGGATATACAGGAAGCAAAACGATGAGTGGAGGATATACGGCAGGTGGGATCCACATAATGTATCTGGGTTCCCCTGAACGCGAGGAAGGTCTTTTTTTTGCTTCCTCGCGCTACGTCTTGTATCTAGAGTCGACTATAGCTGTTCTTAATATTGATTAATTATCTGGAAGACGCTTTCCCCTTCCGTGTATACGTGAGACCCTCACTAATGGGTGGTAGGGTGAAGCCTTAGGAGGGGCACATAATACAGTATTAGTATTTTCCAGAGCCCTCACATAAGTCGATTTTTATGCGTCACAAAAACATTGGAACATGTCTCTTGGAATCACTCTCAACGTGAACTCTGTTTGGAGGTTCTATATAAAGGGTGTGTTTACCCGCTCCGTAATTATTATCAGTCCACCTAGTTGGAAAAGTATTCCCGCAAATTTATTCCATTGGACTCAAAATGAATATCATCCAGAACACACTCATTTTGTGCGCAATAAGCCTCCAAGTGGAGTGGTCAGTCAACTAAGCTAGAATACGTTAGTAGAGGTAGGTTCACCACGCCCTGCCAAGGGAAGATTGGCCATTTTCTCGCACAGCAGCAGGCCCTGGGGCAGCATCACGCATATTCATATCGAGTACTCAATTAACTATTGGACCTTCCTCACTTTCGGTCAATTAATGGCCAGGGTGGCTTTTGTCGGCGCGACAGGGCCTTCATACGAGTACGCGCTGTAGCCTCAAGAACACCGTATTTACTAGCCGCTGCGTGAAGAGAGAAAAATCGACCGTTTTAATAGGCACTGATTGCCAAAGTGATCTTAACCCTCGCGGTCTAGCGAAATCGGGAGGTTTGAGAGCGTCTTGGTGGCATGGTGGAACTTGAATATGGTAGGTACGTGTGCGGACGCGTTTCGGGCGGTCTGCGCACGTCGGCCGGGAATTACGTTATTTATCCTTGCTTAGTAAGCGAATTCTCATATTCTTTCTCACTTATCGAGTTCAGAATATGCTCAAAGTCTCTGGTCGTGAAAATGGCCGCTTCCTCCAAAGACACGTCCGATGTTGAAAAACATCAAGCGATCGAAAAGATATTCCGCAATTTTATCTTTCAACATCATAATGAAAGTCTAAACCCTCTCAACCTTGCCAATATCTCCGTCTCCGAGTTCTCCGCAGGTTTGAGGAACCATTTGTCGGTACTGAATGAGGGGGGCAGCATAGCCCGTGGCCGTGGGGAAGATTTGGTCAGCACTGGGCTAAGTAAGAGCCTAGAGAGACTTTTCTCCACAACAACGCCATTCGTGAGAGAAGGGCCACCCTTGACCTGGACGAGTCTTGTCCTCTTTGCAGGTCAACAATATGAGGGTACAGCGCAGCTTCAGGTCGGAGACTCCAGAATAGAGCTGTCCAAAGACGACCTCAAACTCTTACTCTCCGGTAGACCCTGGCGGTTTCTCTTCCCTTGGCCTGATAAAGATGACTGCACGAAGGAGCTTCAATCAACGAAGACGGCTATTCAGGAGCTTCTTGATGCTCGAAAATTGATAGGTGAAGGTGAGTGAGTCCTATATACTATTGGTCTATGATGCTATATAGGAAGCTAAAATCGATCAACGTAGTTTTGGAACAAGTTTCGGTTGTTGAGCAGCATCTCCATGATCATCACATCTTAGTCTCTCGGCTTTCTGAAACCAAGCAACACGCCATCCAACAAGGGGGTCAACTTTTGGATGTTGTTGAATCTTCTGTTCTAATCGAAGGCGTTTTTGGACCCGGTGCATCTGCAGAAAGCGAAAACTCAGTTCGCCGAGATTCAACATCCGCTCCTACAACCACCCGTCTTGTTAGCAATGACCAAACGGTTCAGCCAGTAAATGGAGAGCTCGATGATCCAGCTGTGCCAGAAGATTCCGCCGCGAGGAATAATCTTCACCGAGATGTGTCATGGCCTGAAAATAACGCAAGTCCAGGTTCCAGATTACACACATCCGATTTCGTCCAAAATCTGAGCGAGTGAGTGAAGAAAACCTCATATTATTATATTCTTTATTAACTTGTGAAAGAATTCTTGACAATCCAGAAAATGGCGAAATAATGCGCTGGACGGAAGATGGGCAATCCGTCTTTATCGCCCCGGAAAACAAGGTTCCTTCGCATATACTTGCAAAGATGTCCACGAAAAGTTACCAATCTCTCATTCGGCGGCTTTATTACTTTGGGTTTCGCAAAACCGGGGGCGCCTACCATCATGACTCCTTTGTTCGTGGTAAGCCCAGCTCGATACAACCGACTCGGGAGTTAAGCCATAGCCCGTCACTGCCCTCGCCTCTGCGCAACAGCAAAACCCAACATGGACCTCGGTTTAAAGTGATCAAAAGAAAGCGGGCAAGAGAAAGTGTTTGACATGGGAAATGTGGATTCTCTCACTACGGCATGGCCTTTTAGTCAGCATGCACATCATGCCTCATTTAACCTTGAATATTTTCTTAAGGCGTTGGCGGGGTCAGTAATGCCAGCCAAAAATACCAGTAAAGCCAGCGTTTCAGTCGTATGGCCATTCCTCAATTGCAGCAGCGCTCTTCCTGCACTCGTGTTCTGTTTATGTTTGCGCAGGATGAAAATATGATTATTGACAAGACTGCCACTAGATTTAAGTCTTATCTCGCGTACCCCAAACGATGTGATATACTCGGCCCAACGCACGGCCCAACACCCAGGAGCGGGTTTGGGCCGCACTGGTCTAATGCAAAAACTAGTCTAATGCAAAACTTCATCTACCCACCATTTTAAACATCTCTCTACTACCCCAAAAATGCCTTTTTCTTCTCAAAATTTGGAGGATCGCCTGAGTGGTGCTATTGAAGCCTACCATGCAAGCAAGAAGCCTGTTCTCTCGGTATTGGCGCGGGAATTCGACGTTCCATACTATACCCTGAGGGGTCGAATCCACGGTCGCACTTCTCGAAGCAGTCGTACTGGTCCCAACAAAGCCCTAGAACCAGATCAAGAGAAGGCATTAATGCTTTGGATTGACACTTTAAATGCTGCAAATGCACCACCAACCTCAAATATGATCTATAAGTGCGCAATTGACATTCTTCGGCGCCATGATCCAGATCGGCAGCTCGGTAAAAATTGGGCGTATCGCTTTATTAAACAACTACCTGAGAAATACACCTATATCAAGCAAAAACCCATGGAAAAAGACCGGTTAGAAGCAGTTACCCCTGGCCATCTTACTACCTGGTATACTCGCCTATGTGATACTATTCAGCGGTTAAAAATCGGATCGAAGAATATCTATAACTTTGACGAAAGCGGCTTCAAAATTGGCGAAGGAAAACCCCGAAAAGTCGTTTCAACTAAGGCTGGTCAATCTGCTAGTATTGGAACTGGCGGGCCTAGTGAATCGCTTACTTCAATTGAATGTATTGCTGCCGATGGCTGGGTAATGCCACCTTGGTTTTTGGTTAAGGGTGAATTCCATATGGAGAATTGGTATAGGACTACCAACCTCCCTGACGACTATTGGATTACTCCTACACCTAATGGTTGGACCGACGATACTATAGCCTTTCAATGGCTTCAATCATTCGAAGAAAGCACTAAAAATCGCTGTACAAAGACGGGTTTTCGGCTTCTTCTTATGGATAGTCATGGCTCCCATCTCACCAATGAATTCATCAAATTCTGCGAGAATAATCTGATTATTCCATACTGTTTTATCCCACATACAACGCATATATGTCAGCCGCTTGACGATGTGCCGTTTCAGGTGCTAAAACATTATTTTCGTAAGAATAATAATGATATAGTACAGTGGGGTGGTTCGGTAAAGCAAAAATCGGACTTTTTTTCTAGCATCCATGGGGTTCGGAACCAAGCTTTTAAAAGCCGTACAATACGCTCTGGCTTTGAAAGGTGCGGTATCTATTCTTTAAATGCAGATGCTGCTTTAGAGAAGCTAGGTTGGAATGACGATCCTAATCTTCCAGAGTCAGTTTTAGAGATATGGGATGGGGATGGTGATACCCCCCCTCCGGCGTCAAGCTCTATACCAAATTCACCGGTAAAAGACGTTAAAGACTTCCGGAAATACGCTAAAAAAATCAAGAGAAAACTTGACGATATTGGAGATGAGATGATCAGAACAAGAAACATGAGCCTGTCATTGCTGATTGAATATCTCCAATGCACTACAAATCCTCAATTTAAGAGGGCCGTGAAGGACTCAACAGTCAGCCAACGTTTCTTGACCGACTCAGCATCCCTTTTTCTCAACACGACTCTTGCTCGTCTTTCTCGCTGAGGATTTAGGGGCATCAAAAATGCCACTGCAAATAGTTGCGGTAAAAGAAGACATGGGTTTCAACAGGCCTCAATTAGGATAGGTGTCCTTCAACGCTTCCTACCAAGCTTGTAAGTGACAGAAGTCGAGAAGTCTATAAATACATCCTCTATCCCCAGAAATTTGCTCTACAATTTAATCACTTGACTACGCAAAGTCGAGCAGGCCTTTGATATGTTCTTCCCCTTTGACCCAGTACTGAAGTTTCAACTGTACTTACTTTTATAGAATACACCTTGGACCAGCAAGCCAGACAGTGCCTGTGAGAGATGCGATTCCCAGCAGATCCACTGTGCCACCCATGCCAGCCGATCAAAGAGACAAGACTTGGGTTGGCCGGTCAAAGTGTCTGTGCGAACATCTCACTCCGCCATAGCAGCCCGACTGAGCTGATCCAGTGTCGTTCCCGCCTCTAAGTGTATCTCCAACGCAAAAGCGCGTATGTTTACGTCGCAGGAATGTGAATCTCAGCCTGACCTGTCTGAAATTCTACTGATGCTGAAGACGATGCGATTCATCAGATCCGTGCATATTTGACTACTATACACGAGCGCAAAAACTACGGCGGTCATTTCTGTCTCTTCGTCCCTGGTCTTGACCACCGGAAGATGTGAGTCATGAGATGTGTCACTGGTCTATTATCGAATAATTGACAGTGAACCATTGACGGCGCACCAGAGTGAGGCCCCGAGGATCCAGCACCACCGTCAGTGTTCTGCGCAAAGCTATGGCCAACACACCATTTCTGGTCCCGTCGCTTCATACCATGCAGCATGCCCCGAGAGAAATACTGTGAGATGAAGCAGCCGGCCAACAACAGGGTGCGGACATCCAATTGCGAAAGCTTGTTGGGCAGAAGCTTGAGACGTCCGTTCTTCGAGGTAAAGTGAGTGAGTTATCGCGCCTTCTGCTAATGCTGTTGTTTTTGGTCTAGCAGGTCAACACGGCTCATCTCAGCTACGAATCGAGATAACGAGACCATCTTCTATTTAAAGGCATATCCAAAACAACGAGAGAGCCCATGGCCCAAGAATCACCGTCTGTTACAGCTCCGCTTGATCCCACTCCACGTTGCTGGAGCTGTTTGACGCTTTTGCGCGAACAAAAACGAATAAATTGGACCACACGAAGTTGCACCAGGACGTGCTGTCAGAATTATTGTGATATATCAGCCACGTGTGCAATGAGAAGATCTAGCGCTGGTGGGCGTTGTAGGCGTCGACGAGAGCTGCAGGCTGTTAGTTATTTATTCTCGAGTGTTGGAAGATTTGCTGGAAATGATACTCTGAAGAGCAGACACTTGTCCCTGTCGCGATTCACAAGCACACCGGAGCGTATTCCCATCCAAGAAGTCGAGCAAGATGCTGTTGGGCAGGTCCTGCATATCTTCATCGGGGACATAAGGGGTCCGGAACTTGGTGAGATGGTAACTTTTGGTGATGTTCCGGGCGGTAACATCATCGGTGCCAGACTTGAGGACAACGTATCCGTTCCCGTCGACGCGCATGCTGCGGCGCTTCCAAAGATATGTTTCTGGGAACTGGACATTGACCTCGCCAATGTCAATAGGCTCCGAGGCACGCAAGCCAGCGGTTCCCAGAGCCTCGGTAGAACCGTTGCCAAAGATGGGGGCATAGTCTTCCTCGTTTACAGGGGGCTTGGGCCTCCAAGGATGCAGCGGCGAGATGTAGATGTCATATTACACATGGGGCGCATAAGGGGCGAGGCGCGGGATGCCTTCTTGTCTTCAGATGTGGAAGATGCGGATTGGAAGGTTTCATTGGTTCTGGAGCGGGAACAGACAGAGGCGCTTGTGAGACGGGATGGTGCTTGGCGGCCAGATCCAGCAGATTGGATCGGCGTGCTTCGGTCCTCTGGACGCATGAAAGGCTCGGCTGTCGATGCCCTAGACGGAGTTTCAGCGGTCTCGTACTCCACGGCCAGCGGAATGGCCTGGAGGTTGTGGACATCGGACTTTGAGAGCTGGACTCCAGAAGACCCAGAAAATATATCTGCATCACGCACGATGTGAGCCGTAACGGAAACCGAGTTCGCGCGGCGCATATCCCCAGACATGCGAGGTGAATCGTGTCGATTCACGCTTTGGGCACTGGTAAAGCTCGCGGGGAGGTCGGGGGAATATATATTTGTCAGATTGGATCCTTGGTGTCGGTTGGGCGGCGAGATGGATACACGCTTGCAAAGGCTTTCGAAAGAGGAGGGGACCGACAGCCCGGCCACAGCCGGAGGCGGGCCCGCAGAAGTGCCTTCCAGACTTGAGAACTTTTCCAGAGCTTTGATGCGGCTAGAGATGCCAGGAGAGACGTTAGTATTCTTGGACATGAGTACCGGCGTAGGCGGGCTGCTCTCAGAGTTGGAGCTAGGGACAGATCTCGCCACTCCGAGTGCTTGCATTACTGAGGGGAATACAAGGGTATACGGGCTTGAGACCGCACGCGATTTCCTCCAGGCATGTTCCCCAGCGGGGAATTTTACGGATAACGTTCTGGCGTTCATGTCGGTAGCTGAGCTCAATTCTTCCAAAAATGAATGGTCCGAGAGGAGGTTATCGTCGTCCGAGTACACCTGGAAGGGCACTTCGATAAGCTCCTGGTGGACCTTCCGCCCTGGGTCCAAGGGGATAGACTCAGCCTTCTGGGCGGGTGAATACTCAGGCGCGGATTCGCCTACTGAACTTGGATCGATCGAGACAGAAATGTGGGCTGTGGGGTTTTCAGTCTCGGCACTTGGTGGAGGGGTGATGGACGTGATGGCAGGAGGGGAAACCGATTCAGGGGCCTCTTCTTGGACAATGGCGTCTGCTGGAATGAACATCTTATGGATCCTGCGTTGGGGGTTGCAAAAATGGCTCCCCGTCATCCACACCAGAGGTAGAGAAATTTCGTTGCGGGAAATGCTTAACGAGCGTTATGAGGTAAAACAAACAGTGCAGCTTCGGGATCAGCTGCACCACATATCGTCAGGGCTTCTGCAAAGGCTGTGCGGACAGGGTTGATAACGGATTGTGGGGCATGAAACGAAAACATCCCAGCCACCCACAAGAATGTAAGGGATTCCAGTGACCATAGTCGACCCGACAATTCCTCTCGGGCTCTCTGGAAACTACCCCAGTGGCGACAGTGACTAGACAGGCGGTGGTAGCAATCAATGGTGGCAACACCAACGGCGATGGTAGTGCCAACAGCTCCAAAGCCAGGGCTAGCTCCGTCGAAATCGACGTCGGTGTTTGTCTCCGGTGCCGCTGCTTACGGTGCCGGTATGTTTTGGCTTGCCCGTCGCTACCGCAAGAAAAGCAACACCACTAACGCTCCAGTTTGACTGTCGAGCAGATGAGCCAGGATCGTTCCGCTGCCGATGGCTGTGCCCCCAGCCAAGGCAGCTGCGAAACTCCTCACTCTCAAATAATCAGCACTTCGCTTATGGCTGAGAACTCTTTGGGATGGAATTAGATGTGATTCTATAATAAGACGATAGATTGCCCTACAAACACATACTATTGTATAAATATTGTCGGGAAAGAAAAGTTAGAACCTGTCCCATTTCCACATAGCATGTTGCGTGCAATGATAATCACACAAGTCTTGTGTGTATTCCAACGCGCGTTCTTAGTGGAACACGAATAGAAAGCTAAGGCATGCGAACATTGAAAATTTGAAAATGACAGAAAGAATGTTATTTGCGTTAAATACTGGGCGTGAACTTCTAGCAGAAGAGAAGGCCTTGCTTTGCTTCTTGTGTCTGGTTATGTATTCTATTTTTTGTCTGCTCTTCGTCTCATCAAAGTTGCGACTTAGCTGACACATTGCCATTCCCAAATGAGCTCGATCCCCTCTCGATCTCATACTGCACAAGCTTTTTCATTTGGCAGGTATGTGCCTTGTCGGCATGAGCCTCTCTGATTCTGTATTGACATTGCAGATGCTATGAATTACCTAGACCTAGGAGAACTCTCCAAAAGATTCTTTTTACTGTGTCGAGTTTGAGATACCACTGTGGATCCCACGAGACTGGCTTATTCATCGTCTCCCATTCTCTATAAGTTTGTAGTTATTCTCAGAAATCAAGAGCCTGTAATTGTGACATTGCGAACGGTTTTATTCCAGGTGCTTCGATCATCCGAGTCTTTGGAGGACGGAAACGACTACTCTGGCTATCAGAAAAACAGCAACTCGGCCGATGAGAGTGAGGGGAAGGCTCCACGAGAGCGGAGAATGATGTCTAGACATGAAACGGACTTGGAGATACCCGGACAGACTCAGCTCTCTGGAGACAGCAATACGGTTGAATGCGTGGCGGAGTAAATATCGATCTCATCACGGAACATGATTTTGTGATTTGTCTGCTGACAACGTCCAGATTAGATACTAGAATGAAGTCAGTTGTGGTTTCAAGTTCAAGTGAGAACATAAAGCGGTAATCTGCTACCCAGGTCTATTGAGAGTGTGGTATCGCCTGTCACAGACCTTGACCGACTGCAGGTATGCTCAGACTCGGGGAACGACAAGGACAATGCACGTTGCAATCTGCTCCGAACGTTTTGTCATCGATGAGTGTGCGAATTTTTCGAATTCCACCCATACCTGCGTCTGAGTCATGCTGAGATGACGAGTGTTCCCGAATGTGGTCCAGTGTAATAGGAGCAGGAGCACAGGCTTTAATATAACTTTGTATTGTGGAGCCAGAATCGAGTGCTTTGCTTGCTTGCAATGGGGGCGGGTGCAAGGTCTACTATTTTCCTTCCGTACTTTCTGCACGTGGAGGTCTATTTGGAATAATTTCAACCAATCACTCACCAAATGATCCTAAATTTCACCGCTGAGGCCATCATATTTCGCCAATGACTTTGCACATTGTGTGTCAAACTAACGTTGACAGTTGCCTTATCTGGGTATAATATAAAGGTATTAACGAGTTAGAGGACTAACAGGAAGGCCAACCTTTTTAAACAAAACAACCAAAAAATCGGCCTAGACGATCACGTTTCAACGCAGTGGTGAAACCATGGGGAATCTTCAACAAAAACGGGCTCCCATTGCTGTGTTCGTTCAGCGTTGTTGATTCTCAACGAAACCTTTCCAAAAGTGCATGAACAAATCCAGGGCGTTTTGGTTATCAAAATCATGAATTAGTGAGAATGGTGAGAGTCTGAGACCAGCTCACCAGGCTGAGCCATGGCTCATAAACATACAATGATCATTTTTTTGGTGCAACGCTAGGACCTTTTCACTCAACAAACCTACATCTTCGAGTGCACTTTATGCTGATTTCTTCGTTTTCTTTACCCGTTCTTACCACTTCAGCCACTTGCCCCAGCATCACCATGTCCCCACGTAGCGCACCGGGCTGGCCGGAATGGGAGGAGAAAAACCTGCTCCCCTGGATGTCTGCCTACCGGGCGCTGCTGTGGAAAGCCCGCTCCAACGCATATTATGAACAATATCAGGTGGATCGAAACGTTGAGTCTTTACGAGGGAAAAAGTACCATATTCTGCGGAAGCAGCGTCGCATTGGCGCCAAATCCCCTGAACATCAAGGCAAACAAAAACGCCCAGAAGCTGTACGGCGCTCGGTGGCCGGTAGCGCTTCACTGTCGACTCTTCCAACCAAGACCCCTGCCCAAAGGAACATTGACAAATGGTTCCAAACAATTCTAGCGGCCGACCCTAGCCAGCCTGACGACAGCAATGAACCAACTCAAACGAAACGCATTAGTTCAGGTACGAAATACTTACTCTTCCCATATTTCAAGCTGACCCTTTGTCACAGGCCGCGTGACGCTAGCACCGATTCTGTACCGGCCTAAAAGAACACGATCGTCATCCTGGATGTGGGACTATGTGCATCGTGTCTGTGCAGCCAGGAAGCTGAGATACCGATGAGCGAAACGTCCATGCTACCAGCGGTTCGTGGGCATACGCGCTACATGGTGATCTCCAAGCGACCATCGTGACCATCTGGATGAATTAGTGTTGTTGGATGTTGCTACGAACGGAAGATGTGGCAGCTGAGCAATCAAGATGCAACATGATAGATATCTAAGTGGTTGTATGTATGAAGCTAGTTTCAAAATATAAACAAGCATCATTCCTCGGAATCCCAACAATAGCATCACAACAATAGCCAGAGAGTTACAAGGTCATGGTTTGACAAAAGTTACCCCAAAGACGGTGGAACTTGACCGGGATTTTCGATCAATCGCTGAACCCTGAAATAGAATTTCGATGAACCATGGAAACGGTCGCTCGGTGAGAGAATGCGGCTGTTATAAATGCTCCTCGAGGAAAGCTTACCTACAAGCTTCTGCTCCACTTGCTTTCTCCACTTGCTTTCTAGGTTGCTCGTGATTAAGGCCTACGGCCCAGAAGAGATGTCAGAGGATTGGGGCAGAATCACCACAGTCTCAATTTGCTGATGTATGGGATATTGGAAAATACCTATATTGTATTAGAAAGATTCTCTATCGCTAGAGTCATCAAGATGTGCAGGGTGATTGAAATAAAGTTAGGGGCCGTAGGAGGGCCGGCCCACAACGTCGACCCATGTCCGGGGGCCAATCGGCTCCTCGGCTTTAGTGCAAAAACCGGAGACATTTTACGTAAGCTCATGTGGTTTGTCCAAAATTGGCATAGTTTCCACAAGCTATCTGCTAGCGTTATTGGAAATTGGAATGGCGATAGAATTGGACAGATGGAGAGGAAGTGTTAGGCTCAAAGAGAGTATAATCATCAAAGGTTGGTGCAGGAGAAGAGAGAAGACACATAGCTTCTAGAACGTTCTACAGACCAGATAGACAAAGAGCAGCTTGCCACTTGACAGGGGAACTTACTTTCTCGTGACTGCGACCAAGAGAACACAACCACGGATCGGGTTGTAGCCAACCATTCTGTCGCCAAAGTCTGCGTGTTATTCCAAATACTCACCTGCCCCAGCAGTACCTCCTAAGCAACAAAGCCCCGTTCCATCGGACACTGACGGCCGTCAACTTTGAGCTTGTGGATCGTGTCTGGATTTGCAAATCCTTCTAATTTCTTCTCCGGGCCACAAATAGAACCTCCTTGATCTACGGCCCCGTGGGTCGTCGCTGGGATCTGCATCGCAGAACCATACCTGCGTCTGTCTAAATTCATGCGTAACGCAGAGCCTATCCTGCGAGACACAGTTGTTGACGCAGAGCCTATCCTGCAAGACACAGTTGATAACGCAGAGCCTATCCTGCGAGACACAGTTGTTGACGCAGAGCCTATCCTGCGAGACACAGTTGTTGACGCAGAGCCTATCCTGCAAGACACAGTTGACAACGCAGAGCCTATCCTGCAAGACACAGTTGTTGACGCAGAGCCTATCCTGCGAGACACAGTTGATAACGCAGAGCCTATCCTGCAAGACACAGTTGATAACGCAGAGCCCATCCTGCGAGGATTGTTGTTGACGCAGACCTATCCTGCGAAGCACCTTCTTACACTCGCGGGGCTCATGGCAGCGAGGGAGCACATTCTTACATCGCTGGGCTCGTGGCAGCGACAGCCGTGGCCACGGAGACACTCAAGCCCGCAGGCAAGAGAGGGACACCATGACACATCGGAGTGTGAGGACCGAAGTCCTGATTTTTTGGGCTGGGAATCCGGCTCCTTTTATATTTTTTCGGCTACGTCTCTACCAAGGAACCAGTTGCGCAGATGGTAGCGAGAATTACTGTCTCGTTATTGGCGTTGAAGACATTTGAACAATGTTGAAATGGTGTTTGGAGACTTTGTGGCCTACAGACTCAAGTTTCGACCTGGATTCATTGCTTTCAAAGACCTGCATTGAGTATG